GTGGATATTGTTTCTTAACTGTTTTGTAATTCTCAATTAAAATTCAAGCAATTTTCTTTCACTTGATGGCTATAAGACTTCTTATGATAATTTGACACCAGAATGTCATGAAATATTTTCAACTACGCAAGATAAGTGATCTATGATATAAATGCCTATTATGTACCACACTCCCTATATTGGTTGTAACATTTAATTCTCACAACAATCTGAACAACAATTACTATGCTTATTTTGCCAAGTACATCTCTTTCTTCTTATCAATTCTGTGTTGCTAAGTCCAATGGCTACTTCTGTCTCCAGCCTCCTCAACCCCCAAGCATCATTCCGCAGTCGAGCACTGTGTTCAACGACAGAACCCTTCTTGAAACACATTCTTCACTTAAACTACCTAATTCCATAACCACCTGGAAGTGTTCTTATGTGAGGTGCTCCTTTGCTTGCTTACAGGGCACGTGTGGGGTTCGCTGCTTGCTGCTCTCTACATACTACTCCTCAGTAAATTCACCAGCTCCCATGACTTTTTTTTCTTTTGAGGAAGGTTAGCCCGGAGCTAACATCCACCACCAATCCTCTTCTTTTTGCTAAGGAAGATTGGCCCTGAGCTAACATCCGTGCCCATCTTCTTCCATTTTTTATTTGTGGGATGGCTGCCACAGCATGGCTTGACAAGTGGTGTGTAGGTCTGCTCTGGGGATCCAAACCAGCGAACCCTGGGGCTGCATAAGAGGAGTGCGGGAACTTAACCGCTGAGCCACCGAGCCAGCCTCTCCTGGGGACCACCCAGATCAGTGGTTGACAGAATGTGGTCCCCAGATCAGAAGAATCAACCTCACCTGGGAACTAATTAGAAATGTAAATTATCAGGTCATTCCAGATTTAAGGAATCAGAAACTGGGGGTTTGAACAAGCTCTCCAGGTGTTTCCGATGCACACTAAAGTCTGAAAATAATTGAGCTACATTAGTGTTTTTCATACTGCAGCTCACAACTCATTACTCTGTCAAGAAATAAACTGACCTGCAAACAGCATTTTAAAAAATTAAATGGATTGAATAGAAAAAGAATAAAGTTCTTACATAAGGTAAGCAATACTTCAAGAAACTTCTGTTTCAATTATATATACATGTTTGTCTGTGTATACCCATTTATACTTGGTTGATAAGTGAAATATATGTTACTGTAGATCACAGTCTGAAAGAAACAATCTGATTTACAGGATGGCTGTAGAAGCCAGCTCTCTGCATGGATCTACATGGTGACTGTAGAAGCCAGCTCTCTGCATGGATCTACATGATGGCTGTAGAAGCCAGCTCTCTGCATGGATCTACATGATGGCTGTAGAAGCCAGCTCTCTGCATGGATCTACATGATGACTGTGGAAGCCAGCTCTCTGCATGGATCTACATGGTGACTGTAGAAGCCAGCTCTCTGCATGGATCTACATGATGACTGTGGAAGCCAGCTCTCTGCATGGATCTACATGTGACTGTGGAAGCCAGCTCTCTGCATGGATCTACATGGTGACTGTAGAAGCCAGCTCTCTGCATGGATCTACATGTGACTGTAGAGGCCAGCTCTCTGCATGGATCTACATGATGACTGTGGAAGCCAGCTCTCTGCATGGATCTACATGATGACTGTAGAAGCCAGCTCTCTGAATGGATCTACACGATGACTGTAGAAGCCAGCTCTCTGCATGGCTTTACATGTGACTGTAGAAGCCAGCTCTCTGCATGGATCTACATGATGACTGTGGAAGCCAGCTCTCTGTATGGATCTACATGTGACTGTAGAAGCCAGGTCTCTGCATGGATCTACATGTGACTGTAGAAGCCAGGTCTCTGCATGGATCTACATGTGACTGTGGAAGCCAGCTCTCTGCATGGATCTACATGGTGACTGTGGAAGCCAGCTCTCTACATGGATCTACATGATGACTGTAGAAGCCAGCTCTCTGAATGGATCTACATGATGACTGTAGAAGCCAGCTCTCTGCATGGATCTACATGACGACTGTAGAAGCCAGCTCTCTGAATGGATCTACATGTGACTGTAGAAGGCAGCTTTCTGCGTGTCTGGTTCCTCCTTGTCATTCAGCTCTTATCTTGGCCTCATACCCATTCTGCTCAATGTTGCCTGCTCTAAGGCATTTGTCCTCATACTACCTTGTTTTATTTTAGTTATTTATACTATTCATCAATATTTAAACACCTTACCATTTATGATCTCTCCCTCCCACTAGAATATAAGCTAATGAGAGGAGAAATCTTGTTCCTTGCTGTGTTCCCAACAGTTAGAACAGTGTCTGCCTACCTGTAATATCCACTCAATAAACATTTCTTGGCAGGAGGAACTTTATAAACAAGTAATTTACCAAAGTTCATCTAGGTTGGATTTCACTACACTTTAAAATCATGTGTATCTCATGCCTGTGATCTCTCTGATACAATCCTGGTGGTGTAATGCTTGGGTCCACAGTCCACTTCATAGTCCTGGACCATGGGAAAGTGATGTAACTATCGTTTCACCACTGCAAAAAGGAATGCTTAGTTTGGCGACAATAAGAATCCGATGAAACATTGAGGCAATCTACTTTCAGTTTTGGATGGATGAGAAGAGTAGTCATTTCACAAGAGTTAAGGAACAAAGAAAAAGCCATGGGGTCCATTTCAAAAAGAAATAGAGGAAAGCTAGAGCCTTTAGGGTCACTCACATTTAAATGTGAACCACCTAATACCACCCTGTACAGTTCACTCTTCTGGAGAAGGCTAACAGTAAATAAACGGGAAGGGAAACGTACAGCGGGAGGAAAAAATGGGGGAGCAAAACAAATGGAGAGGAATGTCATATTCACAGCCCAAAGAGGTGAACTGGAGAACCTGCACAATGCTACGGCTAGAAGATGACTTAGGTAATAGAAATCTTCTGCATTCGGTGTAAACTGGTGTGCTTCCTGAACCCCACTGATGCCGTGAAGGTGTCTGTGCACGTGTGAATACACATGTACACATGATCGTGGAACTCTGGGGAGGGTGCTGCTGCTCTGCCTATCTTACAGCCTCAAAGTGCTATTCACTAGATACCCCAATCACATTGTGCCTACTTCTGCCGGAAAGGGATTTAAGTAATGGGAAGTACAGATGACAGCACAGGCTCTGGAGGCAGAGAGCCGGGGTTTAAACTCCATGCCACTATTTACCAGCTGTGTAACATATTCCTTAATTTCTCTGAGACTCAGTTTCTTTATTTGTATAATTAGAGACCTCCCACAGTTGATACATGCACTGAGTTAATAACACACGGGAAAGCCTGGCACACAGAGAGCAGAGTGCTCACCAGGCATCGCAATCCTTATCCTGAGCTCTTCAAATGCTTCTCCTCTCATTCTCACAGCAGTCCTATGAAGCAGGTTATTATAAGACATCCCTTCCCCGCTCTAGAGAGCAGCTGTGACCCACGAGGAGGTTAAGTAACTAGTCCCTGACTTCACAATTAAGTAGGAGAACTAGGGTTAGAGTTGTCTTAGTCACAGCCTAACAGGTTTCCTAACAACCATGGAGATGTGGGTGTTCCAGCATCCCAGAAAGTATGAATAACTGACAAGCCATCTCCACTCCGCAGCAGCTCTCCAGTATCTGTACTGGCACAGGGGTGACATCACACGTGTGCACGTCATCATGGGTAGCTCTCTGAAAGAAGCTGAGGACCAAGGCACCATGGTACATTTATCACATTTTGTTCCCAGGCCCTTACAGCCTCCCGTCCAGGCCGGTGACCCCACCAAGAAAGAAGGAGCTAAGTTTTATTCATTTCATAGCAAACTCGCTTAACAGTGTTAATAAAAAGCAGTTGGCTTTCAACAAAGATTTGGTGAATAAATGAAGAATATACTGCATGAGAAAGGGCTCTGTAAAATCAGAAAGTACAAACCAAGTTCTCATAAAGTTGACTAAATCATTATAAACTTATATTTACATATGATATTTAGAAAAATATAAAGTTATAGAGTCAACTTAATAACAATAATCAATAACAGTAAGAGCCGTAATACTTGAGGATTCACTTCACGGCAGGCTAAAGGTCGCACTGCCTCATCTGCGTCCTCACCACAAGCCCGAGAAGGACGGACCATCGTCCCGGGGAACACGGCTTGCGTAAGGTCACACGCTAGGAAGTGCTGGAGCCAGGATTTTAACTCTTTCAATTTCTATATCAAACTCCTTTTCTATATTGTAGAAGGAAAAAGATTATTTTTTAAAAGATATGTGTTTCACAAGCCATAAAATTCACCCATTTAAATACATAATCCTGTGGGTTTTAGGATATTCACAATTGTACAACCATTATCACAATCTAATTTTAGAACATTTTCATCACCCCCAAAAGAAATTCCATGCAAAACAGCAATCAGATCTAACCCTGTATACTTTCCACGCATAAAAGAAATCCAAATTCTTTTAAATAAAGCCTCCATTAAATATACATATGAACGTATATTTGACACAGCTAATGCAAAAGAAAATCACGAAAGCAATTCCAAAGGAGAAAGGACGACTTGGGGGCCTTCACTGATTTTGCGTGATGTTGAGCAACATCACTATCCTAAGAGGATGCTTGAGCAGAGTGAGTCAAGAGCTGAGCAGGGCGAGTCCAGAGCTCACGTCCACATCCCACCCAGGTTACTGTGCGTCAAGCTGCAGTTTCAAGGACTTCTTAGTGCTTTTGTATTCACAACCAAATCGTAAGACCAGGAGGGAGTGTAGATCACATAGCGTACGCCCAGCGCCTTTGCTGTTCACTCTAGTGTTACATAGTGTCAAGAGAGCAGCTTAGGGAGATAAAGTCACCAAAGTTATGGAGACGTAGATTTTCTTTTTCAGCATACGTTCCTGCACATTTTTTAAGAACCCAGAGCATTGTATTTGGTAATCTGCAACACTCATTAAAGTACAATTTAATAAATTCTGCACCCACTTCGAATAATGAGAAGGAACTCACTGTTGGTAAACACGTCTCCGTCTTCATTTTCATCACTGTCATCAGATGGGGCCTTATAAGGAGGTGGCAGCTTCATCGGAGGAGGGGCAGTTCCTCGCCTCTGGAGATGAAAAATTTGAGAGAAGGGTTAACTGCCTTAGCACAATCCTCTTCCCCAAGGACAAACAGAGTAGAAGGATGATCGGTAGATATCTTGACTGTATCCAACTTCAGTCACATCACGAGGATTGTAAAACAAGTAAAATTTATTCTCTTTTGTTTATGCTACTACGTAAAAGTGACTCCGTGAGGTAAACACACCAACACAAAAACAGGAACTCAAAAGCACAGTTTTTAGGACTGCTGACCCGCTCAGAGGAGTGCGCTCCTTTCCCCAGTGAGAAAGCCAATTATACATATTTTCTTTATACTGTTAAAGCTTTATTTCTTTGTTACTAACCACATAATCCAAATGAAAGACATTTCCGAAATAAGCCTAAACGTAAAAGCCACCCACTGTATTAATTCTAGAACATTTAAACTTTGTATTCAATTGTAGAAGGCACAGATTTCATTCTTAAAAAAATATTTGAAATGAAATAAAGATTTTTCTAACTGAGAAGTTATTCATCCATAATCTGTAGATAGTCAACACACATTTCAATGTTTTAAAAAAGGAAGAACTCTTTATGATGAATACTTTTTGTATTTCTGTGTAAGTATTCTTTAAATTTACACACCAAATGATACAGCACAGCAACATTTAGTTCAAACAGACTGACTTAAAGTAGAACAAAACTCTATGATAAGATTACCTTCATGTAATGTAGACATTTTCTTGAACGCTGGGAAAAATAAAACATGCCAAACTCTACGGAGAGATCCAAGCTGCTAAAAAGAATAGGAGCCGATATACCCAAGCACTCGGCAAATACCAGAATAACGGCGTCAAGATTTGTTCTGCCACAGGATTTCAACACAGGACATTCAATTATGCTTTATATGACCAAACCACTAATAGCAGGATACACTTCAGCAAATGGACAGCGACTGGTCCATTACAGAAAGCAGGCATGTAATAAATGCCTCCAAAATAGAAAACACTATTCAGAATCCATAAAGGAAAACACACACTCCAATTTATTTAAGATGATGTTTAACCAAAGCAGCATTTCATATATATGCAGAAAATCCAAAAATCGAGAAAATCCAAGAGTGATGAAGGAAGAGAAGATGCCAAATACAAAATGCTAATTAAGCAACAAAAAGATTCAGAAACTTGATCAGTGTTGCTTTAATTCTTGCTTGAAAAGCCTTAAAGGTGAGTTAAATGAAGAGTAAAAAGGCAAATGAATTCTTTTCAGTAAACCTTTTCCTCAGAGCCAGACCATTCTAGGTCAAAGACAGTAAATAAAGACAGGCAGCTTTTAAAAGAATATTAAGAGATATGAATCCTCTTTGATAGCACTTCTGTTATATTTAAGGGGAAGCTGCTCATGCAACTGATTTAACTTCTACCAATACTCTCAAAAAGAAGACAGGACACTCACGTCTTGTTCCCCCTAAAGTCAGAAAGTGCGTTGCGAGCTGTCTGGGCATCTTTCTCCTGCACTTGAGAGAAGGGTGTAGGGAGGGCCAGGCTCTCCGTGGCAGAGAAGGCTGGAGCAGGAGATACACAGGGAGGCTGGGTGAACATGGTCTCCATGAGGGCTGAGAACACAGACGGTGTGGTATCCTCGGCTCCGAGGACAGTGCCTGGCACAGAGGAGGCCTCTCTTAGCTATCTGCTGAAGGAGTAAATCACTGCTTGTCAGTCATGCTTCTCGGGTCTCCTGACGTACTAACTTTTAGAAAAATGACAATGATGCAAATGGTTCTCCCCCAATAGCATTGCATATTAGTTTTGTCTGGTAGAGATGCAAATTATTTTAGTTCTGTAGAAAGGATAACTCCAAAGGTTACGGCTTTATTGCCCTGTAAGGCATTAACCAGTTTTGTACCTAAATTGGGATCTTACTTGAGCATTCTTTCTTTCAACAGTTATAAATATGTCACTCTCTCCAATTCTCTCTGAACCAGGCTAACCATCTGGTTAGCTCCCTAGTTAATGAGTTAAATAGAGATTTGGCACCTGCAGACCTGGCATAACTTTATAGGCCATGTGTTCATTTCTCCTTAAACCACACTTTGTCAGGTGCGGATGTCCCACTGCGACGCTCAAACAGCTCAGCTCCCAGAACCAGTTAAACAGTGGCGTCTGAGACGCAATCACAAGCGGTTACGCCCAGAGATGTGATTTCTCGGCTCCCACAGTAAATCCACAGTGGCAACAGAACTTTGTCTTTTTGACTCTGTTTCTCTGTTTTTTATTTCCAATTCTAAGTTTTTGTTTCTCATTCTAAGCCAAGTTTGGTTCTGATCTGCATTTGGGCAATAAATTACTTGTCGTTAGTAGCAGCAACCAATGAGACTGTTTTTATGGTCCTGACAGTTGAGTGCTATTTGTTGAGATGATGAGACTCTATCACATGTTGGTTCTATAGGGACCTACTGAATCTAACCAACAGACAAATCTACTCAGTAGGATCTTGGTTCTACAGGGATCTATTCTCTATCGGTGGAGAAACAACAGAGAATGCGTTTGCCAGTCTTTCTGTTTGCCTGCTGGTGTTTCTGTACAAGAATGTGTCCTCGGTCCACTGAGAGAACAGCTTTTTGATGTACAAACCAGTGGGCTTTTGCATTTCTGTGTCTACTTCTGACATACGGCTCAAGTTGTAGAGAAGCTGAAAGCACTCTATGTATCTGAGATGGAGAAAAGCCCTTGTCTCTCACTGTGAGTGTGAAATATTTTCATATCTTCAGAGGGTATTAACAAACAAGATGTAAGTCCCCTAAAGAATTTCCTTCAGATTAGTTTATAGGGACTAATAAACATTATTTAAATCTAATAGTCTCTAAATTCTAATAAACTTTAAATAAAAATTTTAATAGAAAAAGTCTAATAAACTCTATTATTCCTAATAATAGTTTTCCAGAAAATAGTGAAACTAAACTTCTATTACTTTAGATGTGCAGCCTTTTAATTTAAAAAAAAAAACAAAACTTTTCACAGAAACCAATAACTCAGAAGCATTTTTATACAAGAATCCAGATTCACAAAATCAAAGTGATTTGGTCATTTTAATTTAGAAACAGCTGTACTTTCTCCCTGATCTCCTTGGTCTTATTGGTGTGGAGTATAAAACAAATATATGACTATAAAAACATTTATACCAATGTTGCATGATACTCACGTCTACGTGCTATGCATGTAGACACACACACATACATTCGTATATGTAAGAGTACCACACATACTTACACATTAACCTGAGAGTCATCAGCCAGTTCTAAGGCCCAGCACGCTGTGGAACAGCACCGGTGGAACGCTGTATTATCTGCTGCTGTTAACAGTGATCAGACAGCATGCGTCCTCCAACACTCCAAGTGCCAACAGGTCTCAAGGTCACTCTGACCTCTGCAAAATGCCTTCATGCGTTCCCCTGAGCCCCAGAGTCTAGCACGCCCGGATCCTTCACTTGGAATAGAGGTCGGATCTTTCACTTGGAACAGAGGTCGGCTCCCTATCAACCTTGCTGAGGTGTAATTTACATGAAATTAAGTGTTCTCATTCGAAGTACTCAGTTGGAATAGATACATTTTTATAAGTTTAATATGACTATATTTTAGGGACTATTATGTTTGGTGGGAGACAGCATTTGCATTTGTGCAACACCTAAAAAGAAAACAAAGATAACAGAAGACGGCTTGTCTACTAGTTAACATCTCCCAGTCGTGAGTAGTGGCCACAACTCCTTCAGGAAAAAAGAGTACGTGAAATACCGCTGAAGAAAAAATTAGAAAGAAAGCACAATGGAGCCGTTACGAACCTGCAGTTATATTAGTATTTCTAGAATCCCGATTGCCTATCGTTTCACACCCTACATGATGCAAATAGGTCAGAAAAGACTGAACTGAGAAAACAAAAGAAAAATCAGGCATTTATTCAAGACCTGCTTATTGATTTTTTTCAGTTTTTTAGTCACTCTCTTTTTTTTAATGTGAATGACCTCACGCCAAAATTTAGATTTCTAGCCTAGACCTCGACTAGCAATGAGTTTCAGATGATTTTTATTATCTTCTTTTTGCTTGTCACTAATTCTAGAGACCATGTCTTGGAGGAGAAAATACATAAAGGGAATTACTTCTAAAGATAATTTTTACAGAAACAGCGCAGTCGTCACCTGACCTCCCAGCTTTGGGAAGCTCTCCCTGCCTACCTGTCACATTCATCTGTGCGCCTCTTGGAGAGAAAGTGCTTTGTCATTGCAGAATGTAGTCTAATGCCTGGCACGTAGGATATAATTTCAGAGAAGAGCAATAGAGTAAAGCACTTCCTGTAACCACTGAAACATAATCGGAGATGTGGATGCCAGGATGACTTCTCCTGTTGCAATATTAACGTAGTGGTTAGTTGTTCGCTACACCAAAGAACTCAGCTGGAGAGACTTACACTGACTTCTGGTTTTACTGGGCTCACACTGGATTTTTTTTATTTGCATGCAAATATCCTTCAAATATACTGAAATTCAATTTGGTTTAATGGAACAGGCCAACGTTGATAAGAATCAGACATTCATCTTTTTCCTTCTTGGGATCTTATGTGGAATTTTCCTGAATCAATTACGTTACTTCGTTCCCCAAAGCAATTAAATTAGTAATCAGTTTATTCATCTGTGTGTGTTTATTGTCTGCAGCCCCACGTGGATCCCTATTTCCTCTCTGATGTTCTAGCCCCACAACATCGCACAGTATCTGGCACACGACAGGCTTCCAATAAACAGACGACGAATGTTCAGATCTCAGAATCAACGTAAGAATTGACAAAATTCCAGTGACGGGACAGACTACATATTCCGAAAAACCCTAACCAACCTCATAAAAATGACAGATTAAATTTCTAAAATGTGTTTTTGTGACATGTGACTGCGGCCAGAAACAACCATGAGTCCCCAGTAAGAAGGTACAGGGGCTCTGGGAGCACTGGAAGGTGGCGCTGCCCAGAGGACAGATGCCATGCCTGGTGATGACACCAGAGATGTTGTTTTGTTTTGTTTCCAGGATTCTTTATTCATTCATCAAGGATGTACTGTGTGCCCATCAGGTCCCAGACAGAGTTCTGGGCCCTGGGACAGTGTGGGTGTGGGACAGAAGAGACCCTGCTCTCACGGGGCTCACATTCCAGCCCCTTCCAGATGCCACATCCTGTGGGTCTTATGTCTTGTCCCCAGCTGCATTAAGTAGCAGCCGCTGAGTGCTGTATAGTCTGCTATGCCTGACTAGAATGCAAGTCCAGGAGGCAGGGAATGTCTGTCTGTCTGCAAAAGCTTCATTGCAGTATACTGAGATACAAATGACATTTAAAACCTGCACACATCTTAAAGTGTACAGTCTGAATCCATCACCACAATCAAGATAATGAATAAAACCATCACACCAAAGCTTCCTCGTACCTCTTCTTAACCCTCCTTCCTGCCCTTCCCCTGGCACCCCATTCTCCTCAACTACTAATCTACCCTTTGGCACTACAGGTTGTACCTCCTAGAATTTACATGAACGTAATCATTCAGTCTCTACTTGTTTCATCTAGTGAAGGCCAGGGATTCAACCGGCCCAAGCTTCCACCGGAGGCCAAGCCAGGCAGGAGGAGGAAGCATGGCCACCACCCTCCCAACCTCGGTCCCAGCAAAGAAAGCTGTTCCTCCAAAACGCTGGGAAGAATGGTACAGTAATGACCTGCAGCCTGCACACTCTCACACCTCTGGAGCAGCACCACAGCCGTCCAGAGCCTGCATACTATCTGCACACACTTACACTTCTGCAGCAGCACCACGGCTTCCAGAGCTTCCACACTATCTGCACACACTCACACTTCTGCAGCAGCACCACGGCCTTCCAGAGCCTGCACACTATCTGCACACACTCACACTTCTGCAGCAGCACCACGGCCTTCCAGAGCCTGCACACTATCTGCACACAATCACACTTCCGCAGCAGCACCACGCCCTTCCAGAGCTTCCACACTATCTGCACACACTCACACGTCTGCAGCAGCACCACGGCCTTCCAGAGCCTGCACATAATCTGCACACTCTCACACTTCTGCAGCAGCACCACGGCCTTCCAGAGCCTCCACACTATCTGCACACTCACACTTCTGCAGCAGCACCACGGCCTTCCAGGGCTTCCACACTATCTGCACACACTCACACGTCTGCAGCAGAACCACGGCCTTCCAGAGCCTCCACACTATCTGCACACACACACACACACACGTCTGCAGCAGCACCACGGCCTCCAGAGCTTACACACTATCTGCACACTCTCACACGTCCGCAGCAGCACCATGGCCTTCCAGGGCCTCCACACTATCTGCACACACTCACACGTCTGCAGCAGAACCACGGCCTCCAGAGCTTACACATGATCTGTGTTTAGCATCAGTTGCCAAAAACAGACCACAGAATCCTGAAGGCCCAGTCATGCTACTTTGTATCTTTACTCTGAATCTCCAATTAGGAAAGGGACTCAAAGAAGGTGGCAGCCAGGTGAAAACAGATGGCCCTATAACATGGTCAGCAGCCCTGTTCCTTTCCCTGTCCAAGAACCTTCCTCAGCCTCCCAAGGGGGCGCCCCATGTCCACATCTGTAAACAAAGTTCTGCCAAGCGTTCAACTCAGTTCCAGCTTTTTATTTTCTTTAACAAGGTGAAACCTACAATGAAGTTAAAAACCAAAAGACCAAGATCTTGATCACGGAAGACAGCCGGGGTTATCTCCTGGCCTTGGCCTTGGCTTAAAGCAGAAGAAAAGGTGTTCCCGGAGAGTTCCTTCCAAGCTCAGATTCACCAGGTTGAGAGCTGAACGCGCTCGCTGCGGCTCAAAAATTCCCCTAATATCCGGCCAACACAAAGAGAGAGCCGACACTGTTTCAGTGATGTTAGACGGAACAGATGTGAAGGCGTCCCCAGAGAATGCCACATATTAATAAAGGATCAATGCCCGAGGAAGATATAAGAATTTTAAACTTGTGGACACCTAATAAATTAACTTAAAAAAATGTAAAATAGAAACTGAAAAACTACATTAATTTTACCATCAAAATGGGAGACTTTTAGGTTACCCTGACAAAAAAAGGATCAGTTAGTACAAAGAATATCTGAATAACTCAATTAATTAGTTTTCCCTAATGACTTGGTATAAAAACCTACACCATCTATCACTAGATAATAGCTATCTTAAATCACAAATATACATTTACAATAACTGACAATGTGCTAGGCCATAAAAAAGTCTCAACTAACGTAAAAGAATATTACAAAAACCAGAATCTCTGATTATAACTGAAGTATGTTAGAAAACAGTAATAAGTTTTTAAAAAATATTAATATAGAAATTTAAATTTACATTTCTAAATAAACTTGGGTAAAAAAGAAACCATATTATGGGGAGCTAAAAAAAAAATTAGTACCAAACAACAGAAATTCAACCTACAATCCTGAGACACAGGTAAAGCGGGACTTAGAAGGAAATGTATGGTCTCAAATGATTATTTTTGAAAAGAAGAATGGCTAAAAATCAATAAACCCTACAAATAGCTAAAGATTACTAGGGGGAAACAGGAGAATAAACCCAAAGAAAGAAGCTAAGTGACATAAAGATGAGACAAAACTAAGTCAGCAGAACCAAGACACATAGAGGAGACTAACAGAGTTCAAAAGATAATTCTTCAAAAAGACGAGTTAAATGGGAAATTACATTCAAGATTAATTAAGAAAAAGAAAAATTAAAATAATAAAGTAGATTCAGAATGAAAAACAACTACTCTGGCTGGAGCAGAGATAACACGAGTGAAGAGAACACACAAATAACTTTACGCCAATAAACATGAAAAACTAGACGACGTCAACACTCCTAGAAAAGAGCCAGCAACCGAAACTGACTCTGGGAGAAGCAGGAAATCTGAACAGTTCACTAACTGTCAAAGAACTGACTCAGGGTTTTAGACTTTTCCCATATAGGAAACACGGGCCCACGACGGCTTCCCAGGTGAGCGACCAAACATTTAATGAACAGCTAATCACCATCCTACTCAAACGCTCAGAGAACTCAAGAGAAGAAGCACTACTTCTCGTCAGTGCGGGAGCCTCGGATAACCAAAGCCAGAGACAACAGCACACGACAGAAAAGTCCTGGGCCAGCCTCACTGCTGACCACAGAGGCAAACATCCCCAAAGCAATGACACCAGCCACGGGCAAAAGAGATCACGACCAAATTAAGTCTAATTCAAGACTGGCTCAAATTACAAAATCTGTTAATGTAATTTACCACATTAAGGGATTCAAGGAGAAAAAAAATTTGTACTCACCCACATTATTTCAGTGAATGTAGATAATACATTTGATAAAATTCAATGGCCCATGCCATTCACGATAAAAACTCTTAGCAAAATAAGAATGAAAGGGCATACCTCTTTAACCCGAAGGATTATCTACAAACACCCCCCAGCACACATCAGATTCAATGGTGAAATAATAAAAGCAATTTCTTAACTATCAGAAGGAAAAGGCCGAAAAGTCATCTCTACTGAGAAAACCTTCCTTGCCATCCATCAGAAGTAACCACCCACTCCTGTCTCCCCACCTCTGTTCTAGCAGAATTAGTTGATCTAAAATTTATCTTAGGATATGGTGTCAGGAGGGGTGACTTTCATTTTTTCCCAGAAGGATGACCAGTTGTCCCCTGTTGAAACCGGGCCCTCTTGCGCCAGATGGCTTGCAGCAGGCCCTGTGTCCCAGCTCGCTGTCAGGTGTCTGTCTGAGCGCTCTCTGGGCCGTGTGTCTGTCCCAGCACAGACGCTGCACAGCTAGATGTGGAGGCCTCATAAGGAACCTTGTTGCAACGTGTCTTGCCTATTTGTGTCCTTTTTCTTTTTCATATAAATTTTAGAATTAGCTTGTCAAATTCCACCAAAAAACCTCTTTGGGGATTTTGATTGGAATTGTGTCGAATCTAAGATTAATCTAGAAAAAATTTACCTTTTTATGATATTGAGCCTTCTTAACCGTTAACATGGTATACCTTTTATACACCGTTTTAGGATTTATTAGTCTTTTATTTCTTTCAATTTTCATAATTTTCTTGAAAAAAGTACTATAAATCTTTGGTTTACTTTATTCCTAGATATTCTTATATTTTGTGTTGCTTTTAAATATTTTTAAATTGCATTTTCTTGTGTTGCTAGGGTGTAGACATAAAATTGACTTTTATATATTTATTTGACATCTTGTAACATTATTCTCTTAGTCTTTTATAAAATAATCCAATCCAGAACACTGGGAAAATCAAAACACTAAAATAAAAAAATTAAATCTTTCATAAACCTGCCACCTGAAGATAACCTTATTGAATATTTCATGCAGAACTTTCTAACGTCTTCATGTATGTGATCCCTAAATATGTAAAGAGTATTTTTAATAAGAACATGAATCTCAAATTCTAATACTATATATGTCAATCTTTATTTCTGGATTTTCTATATAAGTACTAATACCCACTTCGGATAAAGGCAGTTTTGCTTTTTCCTCTCCAATCGTTCTTTTTCCTGTTTCATTATATCTGCTAAGACCTCCACCATGTTTGATAGAAGTAATGACAGGAATAAATGAGAAGGAGGACGAAAAGCAAGAGCCATGTGGGAATGGACTTCGAGGATGAGAGAACAGAAAGATCAAAGTCTCAGAGACTCCCACGTGTGAGGGGCGTTTCTGGGAATAGAGAGACATCCAGCCGTCTGAAGAGAGAGAGGACGGCCATGGCTGACCGGCACTTCGCAACATTTCACACCTGCGCTTCACTGCGTTCCTGGCCTTCATCCCGGCCAGAATCAGCCGTGTTCACATAAAGGAAATACGATAAATATAGTAGCTCTACCCTGACACTCTTAGTAACGCAGCTTAGATGTGCAAAAGAAACTAAACACACTTTTGAAAAGCTTCAGAGGTTCAAGTTACCTTTTCTTTTTTTTCTTGAGTGTCTTCATCCTGGTTATTAGCGATTTTGTTGGCCTTGTTATGGACACTAGGAATGACCTACCACCCCAAAAGGGGCGGGGGGAGGAGGAAAACATTTAAATGTCACGATCATTACATTTCTCAATGTATTTTTTTAAACAGTTAAAATTTTACTTAACTAACTCTCTGACTTCATCTAAATAGTAAAGACATGAAGTACAACTCCAGGAACAACACAACTTGGAAAATCTGGCAAGCTATACAACTTGAAATACTGCGTGTGTGCACGCACACGTGTGTGTGTGTGTGGACCATCAAGGGGCAACAAAGTCACAAGCTTATGTGTGCGTAGATCCAGAAAGTGAAGATGAACACGACTACAAAGAAGGTCACAGTGAGGATCGTCACCCAAACATCTCATTTTGCAAAATCTAGTTTTAGGAGTGACCTAATTCCTAGAATGTGGGATGCCCCATTATTTGACAGACTTACCTTATTCTTCACTGCTCCGGCACGTTATCTAGCACACTGCGCACGCTCAGTGAATAGCTCACACTCACTGCTAGCATCTGGATGAACTGTGTGCTGTGACACCACGGAGGAGAGCTCAGCGGGAGCTGGGACTCAGTGTTAGCATCACCATCCCCCTGCTGCTCGAGAGAGCCTCACACAGCTGCCTCAGTAAACGTTTATACATGAGTGAAGCAGTTCAATTCCATAGAAATAATTTTAATTCTGAATGGTGCCAACAGCAGACTTTTGACTCATTTCTTTTTGTACAACCGCCGATGAAACATCTTAAGAAAATGTAAAATTTTTACTGATTTTTTAAGGATCTTCAAATAGTTAAGACAAATAATCTTGGCATAAAATGTGATGAGAGACATGAAGATTAAAAGAAAAAACAAATTTCATTTCTCAGAACATTAAAAGAACCGCCTGCCCAGAGAAAATTTAAAAAACAAAACCAAAATATGCTTCTCTCTAAATGATATTTAAGATTAATTTTTTTCACTTTTAATAGAAACTCTAAAGAATGAAATTAATTTTGGACTAAATGAGAAAGTCTCAGAAATGCTTCATTTAAGTAAAACAATAGCAATCATACAACAACATATATTCACTGCTTCCCATCTGAACTTGATATTTACTTCTCTATCTAATACACACGACAACCTAAGGCAGGGTTCAAAAATGGTTGGGTCTATAGGCATGTGTTTCTTACCCTGAAGAATCTTAAAATAAAACAAAACACTGCCTCTCTGACAAGTCGGAATATCTTCCTCCATTGGACCTGCTTTCTCCCAGAGAAAAACCAGCTGACGCTGAGGAGCAGAAGCTCTGGGTTGCGACAAAATGTCAGTTGCCATTCATACGGTTACACTGTTTGTTTTTCGAATAGCAGAGAAATATATTTCCATACACATAGTGTTAGCAAAATTTGGAAGACAAAAGGCTCACCAGGAAGACTGCATCTTCTTTGTGAAAGTGAAAAATAGATTTGTATATGATTAATATGCAAAATGTACATGTGTCAAGAAAAATTAGATGTGATTATGAAACAATGATAGTAGGGAAGGAAAAATGAAACACAGAAAAAAGAAACACATGATAATAAATTTAGTGAACTGAAGGGATGACCCCAATTCCAAAAGGGTTTGTTTTTGAATATGAAAAAAAATGTGACGCTACTGTGAAATGTAGTTATACTATTAAGTGGAAAAAATTACCTTGGCCTAGAAACTACAGAGGAGTCAGTATAAATCATGGGTTCTGCTCTCAGATAAGCATCTGGCAAGGAAGTCTAAGTGGATACACACATTTCGTTCTAGCATGCTGAAAACATTTGAGAAATTCAGGAGAAAAAGCTTAAAAAGGTAACGTATTGGCGGTATTCCTAAAGCATCTGTTAAAAGCACAAACGTAAAAAAAATAAAATACAACTCAAAGAAAAAAGTACCAATATAAACACCACCACTCAATTCATGGTGTTGATGAGAACTTCCATGCGACCAGAGGCACGTTCAGACATAGGGCCTTTGATGGGCCCGACATTAGGAAATGACTTCTTCCGGGGTTCAGAGGAAAGTCTCAAAGTTTAATGTAAACTGGTAAAACGATCAAGCATCTGGCTATGTTTTCTATTCCTGTGATGATCAATACCACTTGCGACAATAAGTGAGCTGAAGAGAGCACCATTTTGCAAAGATATGAAACCAGATTCCTTTCATGGTCTCATTCAACAGGAATCACTTTGTGCTAAAAAATGGAACAAGCACGGTCAGAGCAACCGACGCCATCACCTGATGTGCCCTCGGCGGGGCCCACAGACAGCTCGGTGCTCCACGGAGCCGATGCACAGCATGGCAGCCTCTCAGGCCACACGGGGACGGTGACTTGGACGTGGCATGACGCTGAGACTTTCCTGGTCTGAACAGTTGAAAGAAACTGCACTCTAGGTCATCCAAGTGGAAATTTCCAGCTCAGCTCACCTGCAAAGGCTGGTCTGAAAGCTTGGCCTTTTTGCTGGACTTTATAATCCACTTAAACGCTTTGAGTGTTTTTAGGCAGGGCATTCACAAGTGGCCACATAAATGTATACTTTGATTGTCTCATTCTAGCTCAAAACTGTTTCTTCGGAAGTATCATTTGGCAAGGAAGAATCTGGCCAATTTTCCTACTGAACTCAGTTTCCAGTGATGGCCTCAATTACTTCCTCAATGTAATAAGAGTTAAAAAGTGAATTCCAAAATATCTTGAATTTCAAATCGCATGAAAATGAGAAGACTTCATTCAGGTCACCTCTCTCAATTAGTCTGGATGGTGTAAGCACAGTGCCAAGACTGCTGGGGACTGTGCTGCAACACCATGCACCACAGCAGCCACTCTAACGGGGTGAGGCCACAGCCTGCTGGGTGCAGGCAGCCTAGGAGGCAGTGGGAATATCACGTCCAGGCCCCGCCCTCAGGGCAGCCAAGCCCCTATCTGCCTGGTTTGCCATATGAATACTATTTTCTACGTGCCTCGACATACAGAAGGTTGAAAAGCACTGCATTACTATATTAAAAAGCCAATTTTTCTTAAATATGCAGTTTTTCTACTGTTCAAAAGTACCTATGTTTTGAACGGCTGTCTTCCATCATAAAGTAAAGAAAAATAAACATTTCAGCTTCCAGTTACAGGGCTGAAGGGTGCTATTTCTGCTGCACATTGCAATATAAAAGCCATATCCTGCTGCTGACATCTGCATGTCAGAGTTCTAATTCCACACCAAAAGGGTAATTTATTACAGAAAGAAATTTCATGATTAGATATTGCTATCTACTACAACATGTTTGTGTTTTCGCATGCTTTAACAAATATACAGAATGTGTGAGAGTACTTCTAGGATGTTTTTATACCTGACCCTCTTTATGTTCAACATATTTGTAAACAAAGTAACTGGCTCAGAAAAGTTAAGTAAGTTGCCTCCAAAGTAGCAAAGCTGGTAATCAGGGACTCAGGAATGGAGAGCAGGTCTGCTTGACCCCACAGCCTGTGAGCTAAACCAATGCACACAGGAACTACTCAGATTTGACCAGGAGCTCAAAATCAGAGAAAAAAGGGGAAACTGAAGTTCATAACTAAATTTTTATGAAGCTAATGCTTTTTCTAGGCAATAGGAGAGTAACAGTGAAAATACGTGGAAAAGTACTTGGAGGTAAAAGCTTGGCCCACAGATATAGAGGATATTTTTAACCTTTTTGAAAACAGGAATAAAAGCTTACTCTTGGAGTGGGTGACAGGCTCTGCACAACGAACACCACCGGGTTTCCTGCATTCTGAATGGCCTCAACTGCTTCTCTGTGTGAGGCGTTCTGCAGATCTACTCCAGACACCTAAAGCACAGAAGGAATTTATTTCAATTAGAAAGCCGGAGATACTGTGGAGAGGTCAATTCAAAGGTCACGTGTATTATCTATGCACATATATGAGAACAGCCAGGGTCCAACGAGTCAGAACAAAGCCAGAAAACAGTAAGATTGGCCCATAAAAAGCTTTCTCTTTTAGGAAGGTATGTTTAAGGAAAATAATGCTTCACCTTCAAGAAAAGCAGGTAAGACAAAGATCTTAATAACAACGGCCCCGGCTAAATATAATTATCCAAAAGGCAGCTCAGTCAGTACCAGAACCTTAAGAAGCTTCTGAGCTTGTAATGTCACCTCTGCCCCTAATTGAGCACCTAATGCTGAGTGGGGGCAGGGAGTCACCGGGGGTCGCTCATGTGTCAAGCAAATTGCCCATTATCACAACTGAGCAGTTTAACATTTCTCAAATTATGTTAAAAAAAGAAGTATGGAAACATCCATAAGATCTTTTACTAAAAGTCTTCTGTGTTCAATAAACGTAAGTATAAACAGCTCCTACTATTCAAATCTCAGAGAACCTGACTTGTGAACACGCCCATTATCTCTAAGAGCATTCTGTATTCACCAAGCATACTTAACAGAACCAACTTCTCAAACTGATAACATAACAAAGCCTTGGTCAATGCTGGGGTGGCTTATGGTCAGTGCACAGCGACAATTTGTGAATACTATTTTGCCATAAAGAAACAAAAGAAATAGGAATGCAGGTGGAGAGGGATGCGGCATCAAGGCTGGTGTCTGTTTTTCAGATGGGAGATGTTACAGCAGTAATGATGTCGCGGAGAGGAAAATGGACGAGAGAGAGAGAAGGGACAACTGGAGGAGCAAACCCTCAGATGGGGAAGAGGGAAGGACTTCGACCACACGGGTCAGAGACCGGCTTTAGGCAGAAGTTCATTTGCTGTTACAGACACAGTCAGAACAAAGATCTAGTACACAGTGGGAGCAAGGGGCTTCTGTTTCATCAATGAAACAAGAAAAAGGACCATAAACTGCGATTAAGACTGAGGAAGAAGGTGCAGGGGGTTTGAAATAGTTACCTACGGAAGTAGGAGGAGGCATTCCAGAACTGCAGGGCAGAAGCAGAGACCCACCTGAGGCGTGGTCACGAACTCAAAAGGAGACTAGAGAGCATGGCTGGTTATCTTCTCCAGTCGCGCCAGAGCCCTGACATAAGCAGAGCTGCATTTCACCAGGATGTGGTTCTCCCAGAGAAGGTCAGTGAAGGAAAGAGGCTCAGAGGAGTGGGGAGTGCATGCAAGGGAGTGACCAGTCACTGATGTGAGCAGAGTGCGGACAGAGGGCAGAGCAGCGGGGGCCCCATGGGAGGCGGCGGGAGCGTGTGGTGGGAGAGGGCTAAGGCAGGGCCTCTGCGGGAGACAGAGTGGAGTCAGGGAGGGGCCACAGCCCATCGGGCAGAGTCCACCGGGCCGGGGTAAGAACCTCGGCCTTTATCCTAACAGACGTCACTGGAAATTTTAACGCTCCATAAGAGCTCTCTTCCCATCTGAGCTGAGGAAAGAGGTGCAGGACAGTAAATGAATAAAACATAGAAAAACTTTAAAGTGAAGCTTAAAAGCTGTCACAACAGTTTGACGAAGCTTCTTATGAAAAAACCTAATCCTCACAACATTCAACAAGAGAAGTAGAGACCAGATGAGAAGGACTGCATGTTCCAGGAATAATCGCCTTTGTCTCCGCAGTGCAGCACTCCACAGTGTGCACCGGGGACCACTGAGGTCCAGAAGTCAGGCAAAATGGACTTCCGTCACAGTACGATGGGAAAATAAATAGTCTTAGTGTTTCTCAGCTTTAAAATTACAACCCAAAGTGTGGCCAGAAGACCCATTTTAAAAAATTAAACTCTAACTTTGTATTTAAAAAATTCTCCTTAATATGGACCTAAATCCTTCATGCAATTGTTTTAAGACAAAGAGAAATGATTGTTAAGCTTTACTTAAAAACAGAACAAGTAATACTTTCCACAGGAATAAAGTAAACAAATGACTCTACATATTAAAGCGTAATATTTCAAGTCTGCTGTGAGTTTGAAAAAATATAAATTATTACATCTGAGACAAAACAGTGGGTTCTTAACAGTAGACATGAAAGTGACGGTGTGGAAGCGAGAGAATGTTTTCTATTCAACTGATGGCAGAAAAAGTTGAGGGAAAAAAAACCCTGAAATTTAAAAAAACAGAACCATGAACAATCTGATTAGAAAACGGGCAGAAGACACACACAAACTTCTCAGAGCAGAGGACCAGGCAGACAGGAGAGTCCTTCCTCATCGGCCACGAGGGAAACAGACACTGAAATGACAGCGAGAGATGGCTGCGTGCCATCAGAACCGCTGAAAGGAAACGGTGACAACACCAGATGCTGGTGGAGAAACTGGATCATCCGTACGCGGCTGGTGGGAGTGGAAAAGGGAGCAGACACTGAGGAAGAGAGTCCGATGGTGGCTTTCAAAGCTACAGTGGACTCAGCACAGCGCGGTCACTGCACTCCTGGGCTTTCACCCCGAGAAACGGACACAGACTTCACCCAGGAACTTGTGTGCAGATGTTTACAGGGCCTTCAATCTCAACAGCCAGGAGGTGGAACGTGCACAGATGTCTTTCAGTGGCTGAACGGTTGGCTCCATGGAATACTACTCAGCCACAAAAAGGAGTGAACTGGTGCTAGACACAAATGAATGAACTTACACGCAATTATGCTGAATGAAAAAAGCCAATCTCGAAAAGACACATACTGCATAATGTGCGACAAATTATGTGTCACAGCGATGTGACAATTGTGAAATCACATAATTATAGACGTGGAGAAACAGACGACTGCCTGCCAGAGGTTAGGGCTGCGGGGAGGGAAGGCAGTGGCTGTAGAGAGGGGACACAGGAGCCGTGCGGGGACAACACAGCCCAGTGTCCTGATTGGGGTGCTGGGCGTGCAGGGTGCACAGATGACACTGGAGCTACACACACGCACACAGTGAGTGTGCGCACAACTGGAGAGACCTGAACGCGGGCTGTGCACTGTGCCCACGTGGGGATGTTGGCTTTGCTGTTGTGCTATAGCTGTGCAAGAGGGGAACACGGGGAGCAGACGGAGGGCCACGGGACTCTGGGCATTTATTTGAGATTTCCTATCACTCTATAATTACTTCAAAATAGAAAGTTAAGGGCAAAAAGATAAAAGAAAATACAAAACACACATTTAAACTTAAGGTCAGATATATCAGTAACCAAAATAAAAACAATTAACGTCACTTATTTACTAGGTGAAGATTATCAATTTAGATTTTAAAAACCAAACTCCAATTATATGTTGCTACAAAAGTAAAACCAACTCAAATTCACAACTAAGGGTCAAAATGAAGAAATGGAAACAACCTGCCCTGGAAACGCTTAATAATGGAAACCACACGTGCCCCTGCGGCCAGAGCGACCCTAGCAGAGAACTCGCGCTCCCCTCCTCCTGGTCCCACCGCACCGGCGTCAGGACCATGCAGCTCCTCAGGGCGCGGCTCCGTCCCCTCAGTCCTCCTCTCAGTCCTCTCTTGTCCACTCCACCCACCGGAGCAGCGCTGACCTCCTTCTGTTCCCCTCACACATCCAGGCAAGCCGGGCCTCAGACCTTTCACTCAGGTCTGTCTGCCCGAGCCTCTTCCCCCTACAACCTCCGGCTGGCTCTCACTTCCTGCTTGTCCCAATATCATCTTCCTTAACAAATCCATTAATTGCAACTGCCACCTTCACCACCCGTCTTCCTTATTCTCCTCCCTGTTATTTTTCTCCATAGCTACCCGCTACAATCTGACATTCTACATGTGACTATATTGTGTATTGTCCTTCTCCCCCACTATCATGATTTTTGGTCATTTTCCTCATGGACACATCCCCAGTATGTTTAAAATGTTTGTCTTTTTTAAATTTCTTAAACACAAATATAATCTAAAACATGCATATACAGAGCAGTTTTATGCAATTCTTTGATTTAATCCTCACTATGAAGCAAAGGGTTTTAAATTCTCATTTCCATTTTATTTGGAAACTGAGAATAAGGTGGGCTTAATAATCTGTCCAAGAACAAACAGAAAATAAACAGGACAGTCTCGACTTCACCCCATGACCTCCAGAGCTCCTGTTCCTCTCTCGGAGCTAAAACACCACAGCTGACGTTTAGCATCATAAAGCACGAATCCCGAACAAGCAGATTCTGGACTGAAGATATTCAATATGGCGTCATCCAATAAGCCCAATGCAAGGAAATGCATCAGATTCGGACCTCAAGACATTCTCAGTGCCTTGACGGGCCCTTAGAACTCCTCTCGGCAAAGCCTACGGCATGTGAAGACGGATTCCCCCAGGCCCCACTGGAGTCTTTGACTGCCAGGGTCCACTCTGGGAGGACGAGCACGGCTGTCCCACTGACACAAACTTAAAAACGTTAGAGCTTGTTAAGACCGGGAGAAGCACGAGGCCTGCCACGTCTCACTCTGTTAAATCGTGAAACCGCTTTTTTCAGTCAGCTGAGGCTTTTCGTTGTATCGTTTTATATGCGACCACCCCAACTCTAGAACCTCACAACATCTGCAAACAACACACAAACCAAGGCACCAAATAAAACACCCACTGCCCACACATACACCCCAACAACACAGAAAGGACTTCGGGCTAAATGATTATTTTACTGTCTTACAGCACGTTTCAAACAGAAACAGAATTTTAACATCATTTACCTCTAGTATTTTATCTCCAGTTTTAAGAGCATTTGTTTTTCCTGCTGGACTGTCTTCTAAAACTTGCTTGATAAATATCCCTTTAAGCTCCTCTCCATTCTTCAGGCGTTTTATCACAGTTTGTCCACCCACAATGCTAATACCAAGAGACACGTTGGGTTCTCTAAAAATCTCAACACTGTAAAAAGAAAAAACAAAATTCACTCATGAACGAGTTAATTTAATTTGTTGGACTGTCATTGTAAGTGTTCAATTTGTACCATATCCTTGTGACCCATTTTATATAAATATATTTTCTAAATATACTTTTATAAATGTTACAAAAATTGTACCCAGTTCAAAAATTATATTATCAAAAATTCACGACATATGTAAAAGTTTAAATTCTGAACAAGGCAGACTGCTAAGTCAGTAAATACAACTCTTAATATTAAGGGATTTAGCACGGCCTCACGTCCCAGCTCCTACCACCACACTCGACCTGTTGCGAGTCCTCTTCATCTACAGCCGTAACATCAGCGAAGAATCGATTAAGGAAACAATAAATGAGTGAAAAATCAAGAAAGTCACACACATCATTTTGGCAAAAAGCACAGACTCAGAATGGAATGAATTTGCCACTGGGAGGCCGGCTGCCCACACTGCTTCCCCAGTCTGCTGGTCCGCCTGTGGTTCTCCAGGCGGAGGGAAGACTTTATCTGCTCCTAATGCTGGAAGGTTTTCTTTTCTTCCTTCCTCCACATTGTTTTAAAAAAGAAAGTATGGAACGAAAATTGCCCCTCAAAATATGAAGAACTTTGCTCGAACTGCACAGATGTGGCCAATAATTAACTCAAATTAAAAAAGTAGCTCACAAAACAGCTCCCAAGAGTTTTTAAGACAAAACTCAGGAGTGTAAGAAAAACCCAGAGAATCTGGGTGGGCATGGTGGGATTAGTCCTGCAGGAAGAACACAGGGAGCAGCGCAAGGAAGACTCTCACAATCTTAACAAAGTGCAGCCTGGTCACTACTCAAAGCTACGAGAGGATCCAAGGTGAGGGGCCCAGCACATTCCGTCAGCTCCAACAAGGCACAAACTGGACTAAGGCAGGGGAGGAAGGGAGAGAGAAGCTGACACACCACAGAAACCTCAACCACTGCTGCTGATGACAAGAAAAGCAGCTTTCCGGCATTCCGCGCAGCCTGGTCTGCTCTGCTTGGTGGCGCAGTGATAACCAGATTTAGCCCGCCAGTGACTGTCCTAGATGGACGTTCGCAAATTGCTTTCTCCGGAAAGAGTGTGAGACAGATTTTCCTAATATCGGGTATAGTCATTTTGCTGGCTAAAAATCTCTGGATAAGACACAATGAAACTAAAATTTAGGCCAGCCTACATGTGAATTATGACAATTTCTCCTTCATTAGAGAATGACTGAATGTCGCTACTAAATTGAAGCAAAGAGCAACTGATTTGTTCCCCTCATGAGAATGCCAGCGATGTCGCAAACATACATTCTCGGTGGACCCCAGTGGCTGAAGTTTGGAGTCTCCTCTCCTTCACCTTCTTCTCTCTCAGGTAACTCACTGAGGAGGGAGAGAGGGAAAAGTCACACGCAACATGTAAGACACACTCCTGTTACCAAAAGATCTTGGCAAGTTCTGAAATGGCACAATCTATATGTAGATAGTTCTTAATTTTTAAGCCTTAAAAATGTTTACATCAATGGTTCACTGTCCATACAAAGCAAAAATATATTGCTTTAACATTCAACTCAGCATATATCCAGCACCAGAAAATCAGAGAATTATTATAAACAATTTTATGGGTAACACTCTAGATGCTATTTTTATGTTGCTAAAATCTATTTGATTTGCACAATTTCACATTTGCTTTTCCATCAACATATAAAATATTATAAAATACATTCCTTAAAACTTAGTAATGATTGACCAGAGGAGAGAACAGCCAGTATAAACCAACATAAACAGCTGACATGGCTAAACAATCAGCAAACACGGCCCCTCTTTCTAGACTGTTCTTTCACTCTAACCCTGTCATTTGTATCCCTTGAATACTTGCGTAGTTTCAAAGCACTTTTCAGTTTACAGAGAGATTCTCTTCTGTTATCCACTCTATCCTCCCACCTGCCACCAGACGCTTTCACCCACCAAGTTCAGTTAGTGTGTGGAACCGCTTAACTGGACAACAGAAAATGCTGAATTACAGAGGGGTTAGTTAGAAAAGGAGTACTGTCTAACAGGGCAGAGACATTACCGTATGTTCTCCAGAAGAGGAGTCAGGAGTTCTAAGCTCCAGTCTCACCTGCACCATGAGATAGGTGTGTGAATAGACCACCAAAGAAATGCTGCCTCTGATACTGTAAACTGTAGCACTCTGTACAAAAGAGTGTGCACCACCCCTAACATTTCGTTCTCACCAACCCCTGGGCGGTGAGCACGGCAGGTCATATTTGTGCACTTTCCACAGGAGGAGCCGGGGCCCAGAGAAGGCTCAGACATACCCACAACCTCCTCACGGTCTCCAGATCTTTGTTTCAGCACTAAGTTTCAATGTTTCATTGTCTCTGAACTCTCAAATAAGTCCTGTAAAAAGCAGCAACACTTACGCTACTTGCCACTCTACAGACTTTCTAGGATAGCCTGGTCTAAGGCTGAGTGAAGGGGAGAAACTGAGAGGATCTAGACAATCCAAGAACCAGTTAAGAAATTGGGACGACTAGTGATCAGTAACGTCTCGCCCACTGCCAGACGGCTTCCTCGCCTTGGTCAGTCTATCTCAGGACGGACAGCAGCAGAGCACTCAGGGAAGACAGCTGGCCTGGTTTCTCACCTAATATCTTCTCTCCCCTTCTTCCTACCAACCTAACCCTTTATTCCAGGTGGCATTAGGCCCGGCTTTGAAAAAACACACTTTCTGGACTTCCTTTCAGCTAACGGTAACTGCACCGTAGTTCTGATCAGGGATATGGAAGCAAAAGTCCCTGGATGAGATTTCCAGGAAAACTCATTAAATGGAGAGAGAATCAGCAGGCAGGAGCCGTCTGCTCTGTGCCCTTCCCTTCCTCTTGCCTAGAAGACAGAGATGATAGGAGTGGTGATGCATCCATCTTAAAACCAGGAAGAAACCGTGAGGACTAAAGCAGGGCCTTAAGGACAGCAGAGCAGAAAGGAAGAAGGTGTTGAAACCCTGACAGACCACCTGCTTCAGGAGTGTTTATACAGAGAAAATTAACCCGTTTGCTTAAGCCACACTAAGTGGGGTTTCTGTCTCTGAGCAGCTGACTGCCATCTCTAAATAATACACCATGATTCCACCAATTTAAGTGAAGTCTTCACTTTGTCCTATCACATTATTACTTTTGCACATGTGCATATACGTTTATCGGCTAGGTGTAATTATAGCACAAACTGTCACATTTTGATTATCCTATGTAATAGTAACAAGGATTAAACGAGATGTGACTGGCATTTAACTGAGGCTCAACCAATATTTGTTTCCTTCATGAATTTTTTACTTGAATTTTTATCAAAATTTTCTTTACATATTATCATAATCTTCATCAGTTTTTATTTAATAACATCTTAGCCCATGATCCTGATATAATTTAATTTATCTGTTATCCTAAATACGAGGCACTTAGATCATACCCTGTCTTTTGGAATATGGACATTACTGCAAGGAATATCTTCACGCTCTGCGGTGTTTTAGAATTCCCCTTTAAATAAATATTAACTGAAGTAAGACTGAAAACTAAAAACCAACCCAACACCGACACCTTCCTCCTCTACATCTTCCACTTTCCTGTACCCCAAATCATGACAGGTGTGATAATCAGACATGAATCTTCAGTTTTTGTCCCTGGTTCCTGACAGAGCTTCCAAAACCCTTGGAATTTCGCGAGGGATGGGGGTGACAGGAGCACCTTTCGTGATTCCTAACAAGCTCCTTTCAACCATACCTGAGTTTATGCTAATGAGGTGACCCTTGGTGGGCCCCTCGCTGCTTGGGGGGGGAGGGGGGCTACTGCCAGAGGAACCAAACGTGGGATTAGAGCTAAACTTTCAGCCCCACCCCTACTCTCACCTCTGGGAAGGGGAGGGGCTGGAGACTGAGTCCAATCGCCAATGACCAATGATGTAACCAACCATGCGGAGGTGGTGGAGGCCCCATAAAAACCCCTAAACAACAGGGTTTGGCGAGCCTCCAGGCTGGAAAATGCATCAAGGTCTTGATGTACTGGCTGGGAGGGAGATGTGCCCAGAGAAGCCATGCAAGCTGTGCATCCCCCACATTCCCTCCACACTTACCCTCTGCTTCTCTTCCATTTGGTTTTCCTGAGTTGCACCTTCATAATAAACCAGTAACAGTAAGTGAGGCGCTTTCCTGAGTGTTGAGTGCCGTCCTAGCGAATGACTGAACTTGAGGGAGGGGCCGTGGGAACTCCCACCTTACAGCTGGCCGGTCAGAAGTGCAGTGGGCAGCCTGGGGTTTGTGACTGGCATCAGAGGTCAGAGCGGTCTTGTGGGACTGAGCCCTCACCCTGTGGGGTCTGTACTAAATCCGAGTAGTTAGTGTTGGAACTGAACTGACTTGCAGACCACCCAGCTATTTAGTGTCTAGACAACTGGATGTGGGGTGGAGTGAAAAACTCACGCATTTAGTGTCAGAAGTGTCGTGAGCAAAAACAGTTCATAACAGGCATTAAGAAAAAATATATGTATTTTTATTATGGTACATGTACACTATCATTATAGGAATTCTTCAATTTAAAAAAACCTAGAATAGAATGGAAACCAAGCTTTAACATTAGTATGGGCTATTCGGTTTTCTATTTAAGAAAAATGAAAACCCCAAATTTCTTAAACTGCTGACTCTCACATACAACTTAAGAGAAGGGGAGAAAAAAACCACTGTCTAGAATATGGAAATTTTAATTTTTCTCTGATAAAAGTGTGTAACAAAAGGATTATTATGTTGGAAGAAACTCACTGACTTTTTCAAAGCATACTATCTTTCTTCAGGAAGTTGGCATACACACATTTTATTCAGATTACTTCACACTCAGAGAGAGATAAAACTTGCAAAAGCTTATCCAGACAGTGTGATCAGTTTTGGAAACAGAGTCACAGGAGATGAGCAACTACACAAATTAATGTAGTCACTTTACATTGGTGAATGCATACACCTTTCAACTCAAATAAAATTTAACTGAGAAAGTAAAATACTTCTACTGCACACATTAAGATGTAAACGTGCACAAACGTATTTAAAACCTTAACGAGATTTCTAACCTCAGATTTTATAATTTGCACTGTGATTAAACATGGTCAATAGCTCAGTCAGTTAGAATCTCAAATCTGCAGGGCTCCACTTTTGGACCTAGCCTCCTCTTATTATTTGAGCTTCTCCTGGATGGCCATTCTAATCCAGAAGTTTCTCTTACACTTGATCTTGCCCCCAATTACCCACGTCAGGAGAGCCCTCAACATTAACCCCAGGATCATGTATCCAACTGACTCCACTTCACTGTTTTCCTGTGGATGCCTCAACCCTCAACATGTTCCAAGCTGAATGCATCGTTTTCCTTTCCAACCTGGTCATGCTCCTATAATCCTGTGTCAAAGAATTAATGGTCCGACTATCCATCTAGTTTCCCAGTCCAGAAACCCAAGGCATCTCCAACTACTTCCTCTCACCCTCAACATGTTACCAGTCACCAATTCTGATAGATTTTCAAACTCAAATCCATCCCCTCCTTGTCTTCAAGTGCGTCTCTAAGGTGTTACAATAAACTCTTAACTAATCTCCCATTCTCTAAGCAAATACTCTGTGTAATCCATTTGGCACACAACTGCAAGAATACAAATTGTATATATGGTTCAATTTTAAGTATGTGAAATTCTCATAGCAACTGTCTAATATGGTGGATTTTATGCATAATATTTTCTGTATTTTCCAAACGTTCTGCCATAATCATGCCTTTTTTCTACAGAAGCAAAAAGAAAACTATTTTATAATGCGAAAGCAAAGATAAATGGTATCATACCATGTATCAGTGGCATATCTAGAAGATAAGATTCCTGTGTATGCTGAGGCCTTGGAAACAACTCGGGTCCTGGGGAGTTGGTATAAAGGCAGATCTTCTTGCTCCCTTCTTTGAGCCACAGCAGGAAGTTCAACAAGCAAGCCAGGAGCCTGGACATCATCTGGAATCATCATGCCTAAAGAGCAAGCCAGACGACAGTGAACACAAGATGCTCACATTTATCCTTCACCCGACCAACAAACAGCTACGGGCACCCACTGTGGGCAGGCCCTGTGCAGGTGGAAGACTAACATTAAACCGAATGAGTAAGATATGTAGTACGTCAGATGGCGACAAGCACTGTGGAGAAAAATGAAGCAAGGAAGGGGATAGGGTCTGCTCAGTAGAAGAGAGTACAATTTTAACTCACTGAAAAGATGACTTCTTAGCAACATGAATATTTACTGAAAAAATCCCCTTTATGATGGTATTATAATCTTACTACTAATTTTCCTTTATCAACCTAAACTGTCCCAATTACGGGCACTCCAACATTTCACTGATTTAAAAAATAATTCTACAGATTAACAAATAACCAAATAAAAACACTCAGATTTTTAAAGGAGCTTTGTTTATAAATTTCAGAATTCTTTTACATTTGTTATCTCATTTAATTCGCACATCAAACTATGAATTGGAGGGAAAAGCTGCTAACAACCATATTTTATAGATGAGGAAACTCAGGCTAAGGGATTTTGCCAATTAGAACGTGCAAATTTACCTGACGTGCCATCTGTGTCCTTTTCCCATTTATTGAAAAAAGAATAACGAGGGCAGAGCTGTGATAGAGTCCTGTGGCACGTGGTCAGGGACGGCACCCATGCTGGCAGAGTGCAGCCCATTAACCACTCTTAGATACACCCCAGCATCCATTATATCCAATCCATCACAAATTCCCAGCCAATGTTTCCTCATCATGTTATACAAATACGACGAACTATGTATCAAATGCCTTCCTTAAATCCATACATTCATAGCATAATTTGGAGATCTGGCTTATCAGAAAATTAGAAATGATCTACAGACTCTCTTCCAAAACTTTTCCTAGAAGCGTCACCTAAACTCTCCATTTCTCTATACTGAACAGATTTTCTAGTAAACTCACTAGTGCTCCTGCTTTTTATCTTGTCTAGAAACCCTGAGTCAGGATCTAATCGGCTGGTAACGCAGCGGGGCATCTGAAGAGGAGCGCGCATCACTGCGACGCTCAGGTGCATCCAGGGCGTCTCACCTGCCTTCCCCATCCCCCGGCCCCCTTCACTGCCACCCACTGCGCCCTCATTCCTGTAGAGCAGTTAAGTCCACATGACTGCCCCCGGCGCAAGCTTTGCCTGTCTGCCTCCTCCCCACTGAGGAGGCACCTGGGGTGGGATCGAGATTCTGGCAGGAATGGCCTGAAACCAGAGTTTTAAGAACAGGAACCAGCTCTTTGCAGAGCCATTTCCATCCGAGTATGTTGGCAGCAGAAGCTTGTTACATTACAGTTGGGTCTCACAGGCTGCTGCAGTTTGTTAAAACTTGCCATTACCTGCTCCCACAAGGGCCACTAGGATCCTCGGCCCACTCCTCCTCCTGGACCCCTGGGGGTGCTCAGGCACCATTTCTCATCTCTCCAGAGCCTGACACTTCACGAGCTGCTCACCCAGGGGCCAGGGTGACAAACCAGGTCCTCAAGGGCCGTGTGGATGTGGGGCACCAGCCACAACAGGAGCACAAGGCTAGAAAAGCAGGGAATTTAGGAAAATGTTCCTGGATAAATGGATGTCAATGCTTACAGGAGAGGAAAGGGGGAACTTTCAAAAGGTTTATAGTTCGTGAACGGCAAGAACAGAATAGTAAACAAAATAAAGACAAGAAAGATCCAAGCAAAAAGGAGCGTGGGTTGCTACACACTCAGCAACTGAAGGAAAAAAAAAGACAGCAAGGAATTGATTAGCTGTTGAATGCCCACCGTGAGCAGCGTGCCACCTTCCCACTCAAACGTTTCATGAGCACCCACTTCAGCAACATCAGCAGGTACAAGGCTTGCCTTCCAGAAGCTCAGGTATAGCCCACGACAGGCGTGCAAAGGAGGGTACGCGCCTGACTCAGTGGACAACAGCAATTCACCAGGTCCCTGAGGGCTCGCTCCAGGCAGGGGCGGGCAGAGACAGCGAAACAGAACCGCTTCCTGTCTGAAATCTCGTTAACACGAGACGTACGACTGATTTGGAATTTATCTTCTATTGTGTGGTCATGAATGCTTTTCCTGTGAGGACGGGTCTGAGGTATACCCAGTTTACGTTAATTCCCAAAGCTATAATTTCTAAAAATAAATTCCCAGGGCCTTGAAAAAGATTAGATTAAGGTAGAGATGGTAGAATCGTGGCCCCCTAAAGCATACATCCACGCCACAGAACCTGTGAATATGACCCTATTTGGAAAAAAGGTCTTTGCAGAAGTAATTAAATTAAGGATCTTGAGATGAGACCATCCTGGATTACCCGAGTGGGCCCTAAATCCAATGACAGGTCCTTCTAAGAGACAGAGGAGAAGACACAGACAGGGAGAAGAGAAGGCTGTGGGAAGACGGAGGCAGAGACTGGAGTGATGCAGCCACAAGCCAAAGGGCGCGGGAGCCCCCAGCAGCTGGAAGAGGCAAGGAACGGATGCTTCCCCCAGAGTCTTCAGGGAGCAGAGCACCTTACCCAGGACTTCCGGCCTCCAGAGCAGTGAGAGAATTAATTTCTGTCGTTTTACGCCACCAAGTGTGTAGCAGTTTGTTATAGGAGCCACAGGAAACTTGTTCAGGCAGCAGAAGGCAGAGGAAACAACTGGAGTCACCGAGATGACACACAGAGCAGGGGTCAGGGGCACTGCATCATCCCATGAGGAAAACATCCCCTTCCCTCTCTTCTTCCCAACTCCACTGCCCATCCCCACACATCTCATCTGCTCCTTCCAATCCCGACAGCATAACACAGTGAGTGGTCCTCATGGAGGGGCAACGTTGTCCCCAGGGGACATGTGGCCATGTCTGGAGAGACTCTGATTTTGACCGCGACTGGGAGTGGGGTTACGGCGTCTAGGGTTAGCGGGTGGGGGAGCTGCCAGCCATCCTGGCCTGCACAGGCCGGCCCTCCACGGCAAAGAAGGATCTGGTCCCAGCAGAGCTGGCACGGCTATGAAGCCTCCACAGTACGTTAATTCACTTATTCACGTATTTGTGCCGTAGATCTGCTCCAAGCATTTAGTAGTCAGAGGACTACAGAAATGCAGTGGATTAAAATACAGCAAGCTGGGAGAGTTTTGGTGAAAAAGTCCCATTTTTCTCCTAGTCACAATCAGTTAAACAACACAAAAAACTGGATAGACTCATCTAATCTTAGATATTCAAAATTAACTAACCTAAACAAAATTTTAAAAAATTTAACTATCTGTGCTTTATTTCAATCTGCAAGGAAATGACAAGTGTTATCATCTCTCAGGTGCCTTTGATCTTTAACCATCAAGGATTCCATTCTTTAGATTTTACTTCACAGACTGCTGAATTCCTATAAAACTGTTACATAACTTCCCAGAGCCCTCTGTCCCTGTGTAACACATTACCACACCACACGAGAAGTGCCCAGAGAAAGACTTTTCCTCTAGGTAGAGTCATAACAGATGAAGGACAGCATAAATCTGGGACAATGGCTCCATAAATCTCAGGCCATGAAAGAATTAACAGTCTCACCGAGGGATCTCAATGTTATAACGGCATTCAATATTTCAGTCTTGGATGAAGAAAAATTATTTCTTAACGTCAACTTTTCAAAAATATATAAGAATCAATATCGGGGGGAGACAGGGAGCAGCACTATACTTTTAGGATTCTTTAATGGAAACTAAGTTATTAATGTACCAAAATTGACCATAATGTATGGCTATAAAAATGCTTCATAAATGTTTAAAATATGCCTATCTTTATTAATATTTAACAACCCCATTCAATGAGCTAACAGTACCACTTAATAGCATCAGACATTTTAATATATATTAGTAGAGGCTTATTTCAGACTCAATGCAAGGTGCTGGTCTTAGCTTGAATCCATACTGCTAATAAAAGGCAGAGCGAGGCAGAGAAAACGCAGGCCTCTCAGAGACCAGGATCTGAAAGCGCTGAGTTGAAACAGGAGCCACGTTATTCTTCCAGACATTTTGAAGTAGATTAATTAATCAGCAGATTTAAATTCAAAACATCATAATGAACAAAAGCGTGACAATAAAATTCATCATAAACAAAAATGAAACTGAAAGATTGCAAAATAATGTAACTTCTGTTTATGAGAAACAAAAACCACAAACCTAAATCCGAAGAGCTCTGTGGGAACGAACTGAGATTCTCCAGACCGCCAAACCTGCCTTGCTGACCGCTCCCTTCAGGTGAGGGCACGGAGGGTGAGGCATCGATGCCAAAATCTTCTTTCATCTCGAGAGGAAGAAAACAGAAATGCGTTAGTACTTTATGATAAAATGGGGAACACGAAATGTTGTTCAAACCAGATAACAAAGGTGGTGGCAAACTGCCCCGCCCAGAGGCCTCCTCCGGACGCGGTTTACAGTATGCTGAGCAGTAACTTAGTGTCGGCAAGAGCACAGGCAGGTAAAACCTGTTGTTTCCAAACAATGGATTCTTTTAAACAAAAAATTTGTTTTATAAACATTAAGGAGTGGATTTAAATAAGCATTCACCAAAGTAGAGGAAAAAAGATCTACCGAGCCAGGCAAGGTCAATGGTTGGTACACACTACGTCCTGGACCGGGCTGGATCACAACTTGAGTAGCTTCACCGCCGATCCCAAAATGCCCGGTGTATTTTCACAGCTGTCTCCCTTGCTGTGACTTCACTAGTGCTCTGAGCTGCCCAAGCTAAAGCCTACAGACAAGCACAGTCAGCAACCTACCGCACTTTCCTCGTCTTCCTTTTATACATGTCTCTCGGTTTTCCAAAGTTACAATCTCCCAGAACGTACAGTTTTCACTGAAGTATTTTATTACGATATTTATAAAGCTTTTATAAGCAGAAAATTAAATGATGACATGATGGCCACCACAGGGATATACCTTAATTCATTTAGCATAACATATTCATCTAGAATAACTGTGTTATTCTTTATCATTGGAAATTTAGGTTGTTCAAAACAAAAATGTGAATTATATCTTTTACAATGGTCCATGTTCTTTCACTAAGTTATACTGGTCAACTTCAACGGTAAGAGAAGGACCTCTCAGATACTGATGTACCAAATACTGCTAGAGCTTTCCAAATAGATTATGAATATAGCTAAGTATACAACCACATCAGATACCCAGTGGGGCCTCCAGAACATAGAATCAACTCTAATATTGAACAGGGTGACAAAGGACCATGACTATGTAGTTGCCTACAATAAGACAAGCCCACAGGACTTCTTAGAGAAGGGAGGAAGGCAGAGATGGGAGGCACTGTGGACTAAGAAGAAATTTTACAGCAAGTTTTTGACTGTTTGGACACTTTTTAAAAAGTTAACAGCTATTATGTAACTGAAGAACAAGATAATTGATACCTGAATCTGAGATTTCAATACAGCAGGTATGAGAGGTTAAATTTTTAGAAAAATAAATTCATTTTTTTCTAAATAGAGAAGAAAATAAGAACATACAACTATTCTCTGAGATAAAGAATCTTCAGGTAAAAAGAATCAGATCTTTAAAAAATAGGCAAAGGACTTGAACACACATTTCTCCAAATAGTTAAAGATGGCCAAGAAGCACGAGAAAAGTTGCTCAACACAAATAATGAGGGAAATGCAAATCAAAACCACAATGAGGTATCACTTCACACCTATTTTTTAAAAAACAAAACAGAAGACAAATGTTGGTGAGCACGTGGAGAAAACTTGTACACTGCTGGTAGGAATGTAGGTGCAGCTACTGTGGAAAACAGTACGTAGGTTCCTCAAAAAATTAAACATAGAACTACCATATTATCCAGCAATTTTACTTCCGGTATCCACCCCCCAAACTTTTGGTATTTGTATACAAATGTTCATAACAAAGCCAAAGATGGAAACGACCCAGATGTCCATCAACAAGAATGGGTAAACAAAATGTGGTTCCACATATAAGCGAGTATTATTCAGCCTCAAAAAGGGAGAAAATTCTGACATGTGCTACAACATGGATGAACCCTGAATACATCATGCTAAGCGAAATAAGCCAATCACGAAAGGACAAATACTGTATGATTCCACTTCTATGTGGTACCTAGAGTAGTCAAATTCTTAGAGGCAGAAAGTAGAATTGTGGTTGGTTGCCAGAGAACAAGAGAAGGGGAGAATGGGCAGTTACTGCTCAGTGGTTACAGAGTTTCAATTTGGGAAGATGAAAAAGTTCTAGAGACAGATATTGGCAATGGTGAGACAATAATGTAAGTGTATTTAATGCTACTGGAACTGTAAGCCTAAAAATGGTAAAAATGGTCAATTTTACATAATGTACATTTTACAACAACTAAAAATAAAGAACCAGATCTATAAACCTTGATGGTTTCACCCTTCAACTAAAATGACTAAGAGGGTGGTAGAGAAAAATAAACTCTGAAGTAATTGGGCATTATTTGCGCTCCACAAATACAGCTATATATGTAGCCCAAAACGGACGTTACAATAAAGACAGAAGTGACAATGTTTCTCTGCTCTTCTAAAGGGCACCCTCGAAACAGGAGAGTATCAGGAACTATGTAATTCTAACGCATTTGACTGTGTTTTTTAAATCTGCACAGTTTGTAACATTACATAATAAATTATCATCACAGGGATCCATCAGTAATGAGAGACGGCCAACAAAGACCCAGGCCCACCCTGATCCTGTGGGCATAACTGTTATAGGGGATCAGAATACCCTGCCCAGAAATAAGTCACTTTGGCATAAAGATTATTCTGAGCTGAAGACAGTGAGAAAGAGCAGACTCAGGAAAGCTCACTATCCTCCCGATTCTCAGTCAGACTCTAGACTTCTCAGCTCAGAGATGGCACTAAGAGGAATGTACAACAAACCTCACTAAAATAACCCTTATCTTCCCTCGATTCCCCCATACGTTTACCTTCCCAGTGTGCCGACCCTAAAAGCCTCAACCCCTTCTCCCTTGTCTCTTCACTTCTCTACAAACTTACTGCTCTTTGCTGAGACGTTCTACAAGCCCGAGTTCTAACCACCCCTTCGAGTCACTCGTTACTGAGTTTCTCCTGCGTATATGGACGCTGCAGGCGTTAATACACTGCTTTCCTTTTGTTAGTCTGCCTTCCGTCAGTTTAATTTCCAGGGCCCCATCAGAGGACCTAGGAGGGCAGAGGAGAAGATTCTTTCCTCCCCTACACTGTCATCACTGTGGGAATGGAGGAAAAGAGTTGATGCCCAAAGCAAGAACATACAATTCTTTGAAGGAAACAAAATACTGTGTAGACTAGACACATTAGGGCTGAAGCAATCTTAATGCCAGTGTAGGGAGCTTATAGAGCTCACCTCGTAGAAACAGAGCTAGGAAATTCAACACAGATTTCATAATGAGGAAGCATGTCCTTCATCATGAGCACCGAATGCTGTTATAAACAAGCTTTTTAAAGAACACTTTAACAAACAATAAAGTGGTTGGTTACATTATAAACTTATAAGAGGAATTTTTTTTTTAAAAACCTAATGTTAGGCAAATGAGTATCCGAGATCAGGACAAAATTTTGACTGACAATATGGATTCGAAACATTGTATTTCAAACGACCTAGATGGAATGAAGACGGAACATTGGAAAGCTGCGTTAAATGACCAAAAAGTGACTCTAGTGATGACGTAGATACTGACATTAAACACACATTGAAAGAATTTGAAGAAAATTATATCATTAAATGTGAGAAGAGGCAAAAAATTAACATTTGACAGGTTTCAAGATACGAACATTTAAATTTATGAAGTAAATGTTGTAAATATACATCTGACTATTTCATCTATAGCCCAGAAACTTGTATGTTACAATGGGCCTACATTTCAGGTTGCCTGATTTTCTTTTTATAGAAGAAAACAGCCTCAACAAGGGAGCATTTATGAGTATTCACAAATCTGTGACTAGAATTTGCTCCGCGTAACTGAACGTTCTGTCGGGTTCAAGCACGCAGACACAGGAGAGGGACTGGCGAAGACAGAAAGCACCAGGGGCCTCCGGGTCGCCTCCTCCCACACCCGGGCACCACTCGCATAATCCCAGACATCTGCTCTCCGGTAGATGGCCCGGGAATCCTCAGGGCTCCACAAACAGCTCTAGGACAGCGCCCAGCAGAGCAGAGGGACACACACATCTGCAGAAGGGACAAGGCAGCAGAGCTCACAGGGAAGCCAAGGAGACCCCGCTCCACCCGCCCTGAGAGCCTAGGAAGGCGGACTCTGACCCACTGCAGGAGCCACCACCCCAGCGAGAGGCCCACACGCACCTCCACCAGCCGCGTATCCCCCTCAACAGGACGTTATTTTTCATTTGCCTGGAAGTTAACTTAGGGCAGGAAATAAACAAACGAAAATAAAACATTTTAAAAAGTCCCTAATGAAAGATCCCAATTGGGGGTCAGTTAATTCTAACTTTATAAAAAACAAACTTTATTGGTGATTTAATAGCAAGGGCAAACCTATTAAAATATAATGCTTTCCTGCCAAGTTGTAAACAGGCAATATCACCAAAGTGAAGACAATTTTCTAGAGTTCAGTGACTTTCTCTTTAGTATCATAAATAATTCAGAGGACATGTGGATAAGCAAGACACAAACAACAACATATCTTTAATAAACTTTGCCCTGATTTTCCCTGAAAATAGACTATGCAAGAAATACACAGCTGTCTCTCCCTGAGGGAAAGAAAAGTCACCAACGCCAAAAGACCTCTTTGCTGAAATGGGCCGTTAGGAGAAAAGCATCGCTAACATCGCAAGGCAGCTGCAGCCCACCAGGCCAGCGGGGAGCCGCGCATCAGAGAAGACGAGCTCTTCCTCGTGGCAGGACCTGTGTGGTGCGTCTCGGGACAAGGATTAATTATGAAAAGATCCATTACTTTCGGTTTGTTTTTTGAAAGCCTGATGACTTAGGGACAGAGGACGTGGCAGACGTGTCCAGACCCCTTACCAGGTCGTCGGGGCCGCAGCCCCACTGCTGCGCCTCCGGGGGGCAGACGCCCAGCAGGGCCCTGGCTTCCTGAGGCTGCGCAGGCTCGCCATCCTCACGCGCACCGTGTAACCGCTGCGCTCCCAAGTGCAGCCCCTCCACAGACGGGACGCGGGCGGCCTCCTGAACGCGCGAGGGGGAATACAACTCCGTGGGCTGAAAGCCATCTTGATACAGCTCATACTCTTCATCAACGAGCATTTCTCTCTCTTCACCCATTTCCTGCGATCTAGGAGTCAGAAACTCATGCATTTCCCAGGCCTCCTTGCTGTTGTCGACCTCTTTTTGTTGGGACTGGAAAGACTTCCCCAGATCTAGAAACGGTTTGTCCACAAGTTCTTCTTTGAAATGGGGTTCATCTCTAAATCCCTGGAAACAAAAGGCGCAAAAAAATTTTAGACTACACCTGTTTTAAAGGCTGCGCTCTGCACAGTAACTGAAAAATTAACCAGCGGCATAAATGACTACACTCCGTGCTGACGCGTGGCTCCCGTGAACAGCTCCCCACCGCGAACGCAAGCTCACCACCGCACAGCCTCTGCCCAGGAAAGCGAGAAACAACCAAGTGAGAGGCAGAAACCTGCCCTGGGCAAGGTGAGCGACTGTTCTAGAAGGTTCATTATACATTAACCAACTGAAAATTCTCAGCCAGAAACCTATTTTGTTAAACTGCTACACTGAGTACTTAACTTGCGTCTCACTGAAAAAGTAGTACATAAGTATAGATACACTTCATACTGCTACTTAAGGACGAAAAGACTTAAAAGGTCAGGATTTTCAAGCTTATGTGACTCAAAAGAAATTATGGCTATTCGAATGTTCAAAAAACATTACAAACTAAAGATACGGGGGTTATGTCTCCACTATTTTGAGTACGACTCTTTTCTAATGTATCACATAATACCAAGATATTTTTTCCTCTTCCTTGAAAATATATGGCAAAAGGGAATGAATACAGTAGACTTTTAAACTAACTTACGTTTCATGATCAGAAGAGCAAGTGCATACAACAGGAGCTAAAGAGTCATCCACGTGCACAAACTCTGCTGAGTTCGTAGGCACGGCCTGGGGAGCGGAGGGATCTGCTGAGAGGGACCTCACGGGGCTGCTGGGCACAGTGAGGCCCAGTTCCTCCAAGGGACTGATGACATTGCCTATTTTAAGTCCTATTCATTAAGCGTCACCTGGGGAAATTCCCGAGAGGCATCTAGTCCTTCCCACTGCTTCCCCCCTCGCAGCTAAACATCACTGTGGGGAAGCTTCAATTAACACAGTATGCCAAATACTGCACTCAGTTATTTCTTTTTAAAAAAAGAAAAGCTGTGCTTAGGGAGTATATTTGAACACGTCGTGCAGTTATGAAATTTTAACAAAAAATGTCTCACTCAAAAAATATAGTGGACATTACAGGACTATGTATCAGCTGAGAGACGTCAACAAATATGCAGAGAATATCCGAAGACAGCTGTTATCAAGTAAAGCAAAACCATACCCCAACTGCAATGAGCAGACCAAGCACAGCCCATTTCAAGAAAAAAAAAAGAAAAGCTTTGAAATAGACTTTCTAAAATTAAAGCGTAAGGTAGGGTTTGACTAAATAACTCTTTTCTAGAAAGTATTCAGTAAGTTCTCTTGTGTAGCTCTGTTTTCTGCAGCATTTTAAATTAAGGGCTATTTTCAACAGTATGTTCTACTCTCAAAATTTTAAGACTATTTTAGTGATATAAAATAGGGTATGTTTGTTCTTTGAAAATGCCTCACATCTGGCCTATGCCATATTGGCAGGCAATGTGATACCAGAGGGAAAAGATTTCAGTTTAAAAATAATAATAAAGAGGGGCCGGCCCCGTGGCCTAGTAGTTAGGTTTGGTGCTCTCCACTTTGGTGGCCTGGGTTCAGTTCCTGGGCGTGGACCTACTCCAGTTGTCAGCCACGTTGTGGTGGTGACCCACATACAAAACAGAGGAAGACTGGCTCAGAGGTTGGCTCAGGGCGAATCTTCCTCAAGCAAAAAAAGGAAGATTGGCAAGAGATGTTAGCTCAGAGCAAATCTTCCTCAGCAAAAAAAAAAAAGAAAGAAAAGAAACAATAATAATAAAGAGAGGGGGGAGTTATTTAGTTTGTATCTATTTAGCTGAGACAGTGGGGACAGGCTTTTGTCCTCTTTATAGAAACTTTAGCTCACAGCAAACATTCGAATGGGTAATAAATTCGGTAAATACCTTGGGTGCTTCAAGTATTAAAGATGAATTTATATCATGAATTGTTCCTGAAATTTCAGTCCTGTCTTCATGATGGTTTGACTGTAAAATATAATGACTTTCTTCCTCGTTATCATCTTCCTGAAAATAGAAGCAATTATTTTTATTTTTTTTTAGCACGATTGGAGAAGTGTTTTTGTCAACTACGAAGCTACCTTTTTTGTTGAGACGTAATTAACGTTTAATACTGTATTAGTTTTAGGTGTACAACATAACGATTTGATATATGTATATATTGTGAGGTGATCACCACACTAAGTTTGGTTAACACCTGCAACTTTAAAACACACAATAAAGCAGCGTTAACATAGTTGCCGTGCTGCACGTTATGTCCCCAGGACTTGTTTACCCTTTAGCTGGAAGTTTGCACCTTTTGTCTACCTTCACCCATTCTGCCCACCCCAGATCCCTCACCTATGGCAACCACAGAAGCACTTTTATAATCAAGAAAATACCTAGTTTCAAACTCTCTTCGGATTAATTTTCATCTTTTCATTAAGCGCAAGTACACAATAAAATTTACGTAAACTGTTTTATTAGAGCAAACTTTAATAATTAAAAAGAAAGCCATATTCAGGTCAAAGCTTCTCAAACTGTTTATTCTTTATAGGTATTCCTTAAAGAAAAAGATCACTTTCTCAGGAAGAGATCTTAATATTAAGAAATGTGTAAGTATCGACAGAGTGAAAGTCAACATATTTAATAATGGTACAGTGTGGTTGCTCTCCATCAGGAGGGGGAGACCACGCAGTGCTCACCAGCCAGCACGGGCAGCAGGTGCTGACAGCTGCTATTTATCGAGTCTGGCTGTATATCACAATCTACAGTGAACACTTCCAAACGCTTCACCTCAGCTTAATCTTTACAACAACCCTCTAAGGTCAGGATTTTATATTGCATTTTTATATAAAAATAACAGCAAACATATACACACATATCTCTCTCTCACAGGCACAGGTTTAGGCACCCTAAACATAGCAATTCATTTACTTTATTAATATATACTCCAGGAAGTAGGAGCTCTATTAACCCATTTTACAGATGAGTAAAAGAGGCACAGTAGTTTGCCCAAAGTTACGTAACTAGTCGGTTACACACCCAGTTACAGAAACCTGGCTGCAGGGCTGTGTAGCCTGTGGTCTCAACCCCCACGCCACGCAACCCCACTTCACAGATGAGGAAGCAGGAGCTGGTGAGGTTACACAATGGGCCCAAGGACACAGCCTCGCAAACCACAGAACTAAGCAAAAGCCCACAGCTATCTGGCCCGAGAACTCCACTGCCAGCTCTGTCTTGTTAGTTCTGAAGACACAATGGAGTTTTTAAAGTCAGTTCATTCATTTTTTGATCTGGCACATTTGAGGTGAGTTTGTAGAAAAGAGAAAGTAAGTCACATTTATGGTTAACATGAAAATATATTGTATAGATAATATGTAGCTCTATAATACAACATCATATAATATCTATACATATATGGACAATACATATCTGTATGAGTCAAGACAATAAAAAATGATTTTTCCCTCCTAACTGTGGCATGTTCACAGTCCTTCTGCCCCAATCTGACTTGGGACCTTCTTGTTCATGCTCGATCCCCCTTCTGCTGAGGAAGGAGCCCACGCTCACTGAACACGAGGTGGTACGTGGCCACCAACCGGACCATGAGAGGGAGCGAGAGAGTGCTCAGAGAAGGTCCACCCGTCACTGTTCACAGCTCACGAGCAGACAGATCTGCCACAAGAACCCGAACATTAAAAAGGACTTACAACATTTCAAAGTCTTCAAAGCGACCTCTCTCCCATCCCTTTCCTGGCTCCCCTCCCAAGGGCCGGGCAGCCTTCTTCTCCCCGAGGGAAGCCTGGTGAAGGTCCCCCTCATCAGCACCACCTTCCAAGACCCTCAGAGTGAGGCTCGTGGTCCGAGGTTCCTCCCATCCGCCTCTGCAGAAAGAGCTCAGGATCCCCAGCGGGCTGGTACGAAGCTCCGTTTTTACAGGGCCTGAATCTTCCTTAACTGCTTCCAACTCAAGTCATGCTGTTTAAGTCCCATAGGCCATAAGTAGTTGGGGATTTCCTCTGGCAGCCCAAATAATCAGGCAAATAATCATCAGGGAAAATCTAGACAAAGTTCCTGCCACAATCCAAAACACCAAGAGGAGGTCCCCATAAAAATATCAAGTTTTGCCTCCTTACTTTGCCCAAAAATCAAACCAGCATCTCATGGTACATATTGGCTATGGCAACACCCACACCAAAGACACAATATAAAGTCAAGAACCTGACTTAGCTGGGTGCTATGTTCCATTTTGAAGTGTTTAAGGTGTCTGATAGGTGTAGTACACAGGCATCTTTATGTGCACTATCTGAGGAATGAAAAGGTCATGCATGAAGGGCATGGTGAGGTTCCCCAATGCAAAAGCACCATGTGTCATACAGAATCTATGTCTACACCTACACACCTATATGTGAACAGATCTATCTGAAGACTTGTAGTGTGTTAATATATTTCACAGAATAAAAGAATTTTAGAGTTAAGAAAGATCTTAGGAGTTCTCTAGTCTTGTTCAGTCTTCTCAGAAATGAAAAAAGAGGCCTGGAGAAGAAAAGTGGTACACCTATGATCAAACTACCAGTACAATGTTTCTCAAAGAGGAAAATTCTGCATCAGAATCAAGTAGGTGATTCACTGAAGAGCAGGTTCCAGACCATCACGTCAGAATCACCAAACCAGAACCCCCGAGGGTGAGTCCTGGGACACCGCACTTTAACCATCTCCCAGTGACTCCATCACTTCTCTCTGAGTCTGAAACCCACTGGGCGAACTCACAGCGAAGATAGAAACAGGGCCCAGATTTCCTGAAATCCAGTCCAACGCCCCACTACAGCCATGCTGTTTCAGACACTTTGCACACAAACGAACCCACTGACGACAAATCACAGCCGCAACACACAGCACGTGGCCAAGAGCACAGGGTCTGAAGCCACTCTGCTGAGTCTGTACTCCAACTCTGCCCCTCACAGTTATTCACCTTGAAGAAGTTCTCAACTCCCCATGTTCTGACTGACTCATCTGTAAGGGGGGTAAGAAGAGGACTAAAGCAGCTCTGAGGTTTAAACTAGTTAATACATGTAAGGGCTTAAAATACGGATGCAGAGTAGGCACTCAACAGTACCTCAATGCTGCTTGAAAATTATCATCAGTATTTTTCTGTGCTGGGGACCTCAGCAGCACCAGAACAGTGATGCGGCCTTCGGTCCTAATAGTAATCAGACCCAGGACATGAGACTAAGCAGTAAAGTGACTTCCCGATGGCCTCACCGGATGTGAGTCTCGATGCTGTGGTTACAAGGCACCTGATGGCCAGAAAAGCTTATTGGAATCTCACTGCCATATGGTTAAAATGGTATGAACTGGGTTTCAACTGATCATGCATCTCAACGTCATTCCCAAATCAAGGTTAAAATGCATAAATAGACTTATTTTAATTACGTCATAAGGAATGTGGCGAGACCTTACAAGTCTGTGCTAAAAGCACGAAGATAAAATTAGCAGTGAGTTGTAGTCGCAGGCCTAGGAACGCCAGCGGCCAGCACTTACGGAATAATGTACTAAGCACTGAGTGACTGTCATCTTTACTCCCCAAAGCCCTGTGAGGTAGACATTATTTTCCCTGAGTCAGTAAGTCAAGGACATTAAGAAACTTGCAGAAGGACACACATGTAGGAAGCAGTGGAACAAGGATTCGAGGTCAGGTGTATTTGTCTTCAAAATCCATGTTCTTAAATCCTACACTATTATCACTTCCTATGTTAACAAAACTCAACACTTACCACCAAAGGCTTACAGATGCCAAGGCGCACAGTGCCTGGTGGCACAGCTTTCAGCACCTCCACGGCTTCAGCAAGTGTGCTGTTGTCCAAACTGTGTTCATTGACTGAGACCAGGCGGTCTCCAGGTAGCAGCTCCCCACCTCTGTCTGCGACACCATCCACCACCAGGGAGCGGATCACAATCACTGATCTTGTGGGGTCCAAGGGGTCCTGGGGGTCAAGCCAAGAAGAGACACGTCAGTTCCCTGAAGACAAATACACAGCTTTCAGACGGTTTATGTTTACTCATGAATCTCATCTATTGACTGCATGTGTCTAGCTTTCTGGTGACAGTCTTCCAAAGATGAAAAAACCTATTAAAATATCACTCTGCATATCCACACAAATATCAGCTTGTATCAAGGTGAAGACACAGCCCGAACAACTTCAACCACATGTCTGAGTGCTTGATACATATCAATTTCTACTTTAAACTTTTGGTGACTGGTATTTTGTTGGACCACAAGAGGTCTGGGGACAATTGGTCAAGATTCTCTGACAGCCTCAAGCATGGTCACACTACACACCCAAGAAAAGCCCATCTACTATGGCTCGTGGGCAACCAGTGGGCTGCCGGAGAGTGTAGCACGGGAAACGACACTCCATTCTGAGGCATTCCACCAGCAGAGCAGCCTCCTGCTCAATCACTTAAGTTCAAACAAGACACAGAAACCATGGAATATTCCACTGCATTAAAAAGTATGTTTAAACATAACAGAACCAGGGCCAGCCCTGGTGGCCCAGTGGTTAAGTTTGGTGCGCTCCGCGTCGGCAGCCGGGGTTCAGTCCACAAGCGCAGACCTAAGCACTCATCTGTCAAGAGGTCACGTTGTGGTGACAGCTCACATACAAATAAAAACAGAGGAAGACTGGCAGCAGATGTTAGCTCAGGGTGAATCTTGCTCATCAAAAAAACAAAAACACATAACCTAAAATCGTGACATGGTATTGGTGCCCCATAGAGAGAACTATTCCAGTACATAGAAGATGAGTGTCAATTCACGAACAAAACCGACGTGCAAACACCTCTCATCCACTGGGAGGCCCGATATTTCTTTTCAGTAAGCACTGAAGATAAGATTGACATTCAATAAATACATTTGGTTAACAAAAATCCACTTCTAACCCCACTATTATGTTTTACTTTATTCAACGAACTCTGATACAGAGCACTTACTGGGTGTCAGGCTCTGTTCTAAGTCCTTGGGAATCATTAACTCATCTAATGCTTAGAACTCCACGATGTGGGTGGGTTTATTGTTTGTATCTTTACAGATGAAGAAACTGAGGCTCAGAAACTTCAGGAAACTTGCCAACATCACCCACCTGGTTAGTGGCAGAGCCAGGATTCAAACTCAAGCAGCCTGGCTCCTAAGTCCTTGCTCTAGACTACCATGCTCTGGCACTTGCTCCTCCAAGATAAGAGTCAGAAGAAACTTGAAACAGAGCTGTGATCCGCTGACACGGAAATCTTATGTCTGAGCAGAGCATCTTAATTTGTCCTAGTGGTGGAGGTACATGGTACCACTGCTAAACCCCACCCGGTGAGGGAGAGAAAAACTGATTAAGTCCCAGTCACATCAGCTTTCGCTTTGCTTCGTCTATTTTGGTTTCATTATGCACACACTGCTCCATAAAGGGGGTAACGTGAGATCCCACTACTGTTGGTTTCTATCAAACGCTTCCTGGAAAAGTGGAGAGAAATTGCCCGTTTTGTGTTGGAATCCTAAGACTGTGGAATCGGCAAAGTGAGAATTTGCCAAGTTCCAGGCTTTGTCAGTTTGAAGGGGCTGACGGTTCTTTTGAAGTTTTCTGACCCGGTTTTGTATACGTCTGTGTTTCAGACATCAAGGCACATTTTCAAGTACTGCATGGAATTTTAACCAAATAAATTATATTTAAGTCAACAAAGGCTACCCAGCTAATTCCTTGAAAAATGCCCTCAAACAGAACTCCTCCTACTTTCCTTAACTAGTAACTTCCTTACTCTCCTTTCCCGCTCCAGGGTCAAGAGATTCCTGGTAAATTTCTAACACGATCTGCTGTCTAACATCACATATTTATGAAGAGGACCGAAGGTAAAAACAGTCATGGGTGCTCGTTAATAAAGCACACATTGTTAAACTACAATTACACCAATCTTTTCAAGTAGAGGGAGCTATTACACAGGAAGAGAACAGAAAAGAACCCAAAAAAGTGCAGCGGGCTATCAGCAGGCAATCAGAGCAGCAATATAAAGGAGCTGTCTATTTTGTCACCGGCAACCATGAATCACGACACACTTTCCATCCTGAAATATGAAACCATTACATTTTAAGTTTGACACGCTAATAAATAAGCTGTACAATTACGTCCTTCATTTGGGATGTCAGTGTTTGATGAAAGGCTTTTTTACTTGGGGGGAAGGGAAACTACCTATTAGCTTATTCCCCTCATGAAATGCGCAAGCAGCGAGCACTACTTCATATTAATATTACTACACTTTCTCAGAGAAAATTGCATCTGTAAAATATACCAAAAGCAAATAAATGATCTCACTGGGATGGCGAGAGCAATCTCTGCAGTTTCGTGTAACGCTGAGTCAAAAAGTACTATTTTTAACCTAAACAGGTGAGTAGCTTTTCAAAGTGCAACCGGTTGAAATGATAATTAGAAACATTGCAAAGGAAGATTAACCAGGGAATAATGGAAACGGAAAGATTAGTAGATTTCCCTTAATACAGAAAAGTCGTGGTGGGCACAGTCTTGCTTAGACCCCGAATCAGCACCAAGTGTGCCTGCTCACGAAAACGTGCTCAGACCTCCAGTCATTCCACACTCAGTCTCCCTGGAGGAGAGAACCCCACGGTAGCTTCCTTCTCACTTAGAAAAAGACACACCCTTCCTCCTGGAGACGCCCCACCAAGGGTGGTCAGGGCTGGGTCTTCTAGGGTGCCTTTTCGGACTGGTTTCCCGTGTGCCTGAACGATGTTGCTGGGATGAGCAACAGTCACTTGCTTTCACCGTCCTCTCGGAGCAGCCGCCCCACGGAAAAACGGCAGCTGCCACAGCCCATTGGGGCGGCCGCTCTCCTTGAGGCTCTGCTGCACCCAAAATGCTCCAGAACCAGCCTGACCCAGGCTGCTTCTCCTCAGAAAAGTCTGTTTTCTGAAAAAACAGCCCACAATATCATACCCGTGTTATATCAAACAAAATGTTATAAAGACCTTTCTCAAGACTCCATCCAACTCCTAGACCCCATGTCAAGTTCTCAAGTTCCCATCAGTTTTTACCACCTTTATCATAATTTAAAAAATCTCTAATTTTTCTTGTTTTGGTAAATAACACTGCAAGGAACACTGTATTCAAGAATCAAGATGTTGTTTTAGACCAAACAGCCAGCAGACGGCACTCAAGACCAACCATAGACACCAGAAACAGCCTCTCTTACCACGCAAGCCCTTCTCCTCTTCTGAAGGGCTGTTTCCTCTCTATTCAAAAGCTTTGTATTATTATACGTGTTCCAACAGCCTGCCATATGTTGGCTTCAATTCGACCATTTATGAAAGTTGTGCCCTACAGCTCTCAAAAATACATCAAACTCCTACCATCAATTAACAGCAGCCAACTCCCATCAGAACACCACCCAGAAGAGAGGAGATCTGACCTGAATCCCCTTGGTACCCAGCTCTGAAACCCCAGACGGCCCATCCAGGTGCCTCGTCTCACCGTACCTGCCTGACAGAAAGCGGTGTCGGGACTTCTGAGGTCCCGAAGTGATGCTCATGTTTGATGTTTATTATAAACACTGGATGTGTCCATGAGGGAGAATCCAGGGTGACAGACTCCTCTCCTCCCGCACCCCTGACGGCATTCTGGCCCCGAGCACTCACTCACTCCCTTCACCCCTCCCCGAGTGCTGGGGGGTGTCGACCTGAGTCTCCCTCTTCCACCTGATCCCATCTCTCCACTTAAGCTGCCACCGCCTCACCTCAGCTTCTCATCATTTCTCGTCTGTACTACAGTCTCCCAATAGGTCTACTTGTATCCAATCTTGCCCTTTTTTCTACAGAGATAAAATAAGGATCTTTAAAAATAAAAAAGTGATGGCGATTCCTTCAGGATAAAGTCCTCACTGCTTGTGGAGAAACTCCTTCAGATCTGCACATCGTCTTGCTCCTCCCGCCTCCCCACGGGGACCCCTGCCCACCCCCCGTACCCCACAGCACAGAACTGCCGATTCGGGGACTGTGAGCTGCTCTGGCCTGCTCTGGGACGGCCCACAAACATCCATCTGCCCAGCAGGCCTTCCCCGCCCCTGCCCCTTATCGACAGGCTTGCCGGCAGTCCTGAGCTTCCCTAGAGAAGCTGTCCCTGACTCCCGGAAGAAGACTCAGGCACTCCCTGCTCTGTGACATCCACACAGCTTTGTCCTGACATACTGTCCTCGCTGTCCTGAACTCCGGGGACGAGTCGGGGCCCCTGCAGACGTGTGCACAGCACCCTGGAGGTGTTTACTTACTCGCTGTATTTCCAGGGCCCACGACCATGCCCGCCACACAGCAGGAACTGAACAGCAGTGGAAACAGTGAAAGGCTGCATGTCTGGTCTCTCTCCTCCCCGGGCTCTGAGGACACCAGGCAAAGGCCACGTCCCGTCATCTGGGAACAACTGCTACCACCACCTCGATCCTCCAGGCACGCGCCCAAATCTCACTCTTAGGAACCCATTTAACCCTCACACCGATGTGAAGGAGGCACCGTTACTATCCCCACCTTCCTGCTAAGAAAACCAAGGCGGAGGGAGACTCAGTAACTTAGCCACGCACACAGCTGACACACGGCAGGATGAGAACTTGAACCAGCAGGTTAAGTTCCGGGTTCATGCTCTCAGCCACCAAGCGAGGCGGCTCCTCTCCCTCCAGGTGAGTATTTGCTAAGTGACGAATGTTGAAAGAAGGCGTGAACTGTTGGAAGTTATCATTGTTTCCTTGCCAAAGGGCTTAAAACTGAGCCCCTTAAACATCACACCCTTGGCCACTGGAGGCTTCTGTTTCGGGACCCAGCTGACGGAAAGGAAGAGAGCACAGAACGTGCGGCGTGCCTGCACGTACAGGTAGGACACGCATCTGTTCACCAAACTTTACGTTCACTTTCTCAGGAACTCACTCATTGGCGAGCTAAGAACCCTTTTACATGAACAGGTGCAAACACGTGACAATCGTTATGCCCAAATGGAAAGGGTTTGAGGTTTCTGAAGTGTCTGTAAAATATATTAAATGTATATTTGCGCACATTCCCCCAGGGCAGAGAGACAAGAGCTCACACAAACTGCAGCTGGTGCAGGGTGCCACCTGGGCGGGAGGGGCTGCACGGAGACGTGGGCTCCATCAGAGACAGACTCAGCGAGGAGACACGGCAGCTCCAGCCACGAGGCTGCCCAGGACCGAGACTGCAGACGTAGGGGCGGGGGCTCGGCGGGAAGGCACGGAGCAGAACGGTACACAAAGCGCAGACAGAGAAACGACAAACACGAAGAGTGGTCACCTTTAATACAATGGCCAATGCACGGGTGAGGTGTTTTTGAAAATAAGAGGAACATGAGACATACGACACGAGCTGTGCTGACATTCGTCATGTGTATGCTCCACAATCACTCCAACAAAGGAAACGAAACTGAGGTGTGACAATGACTCACCCACATGGACTCAAAATAAAGAATAACTTTCGGGTTCTTTTTTTAAAAATCTATTCTGTATCCAAAACGAACTTAAAAACCTTAAGTAATGTAACAACAATTTAGAGACCAGAGTGGGATGGCAAAGAGAGAGACCACGGTTTATTTTAGGTAAAAATTCATGTACAAATTACTTTGCCTTTTGATAATTTTGACACTTATTGTCAACTGAGTATATTAATACATAAAACTGGTCTTCAATAAGTCAAGAGAGGAAACAGGGTTAATTCATATGGTGTCCATTCTATGTCACCAAAGTTCTGTGCCGTTGCATAGCTCACCACAACACGCCTGCTCTCCTGCATCAAGAGAGTCCTTCACCAAAGGGAAACGATCCCAAGGAATGACTAGAAAAACAAGCTCAGATAACCAGGAAACAGAAAGTGCTCTACAAATGAACACATCTCCAGCCAATGAACTCAGTGTTGGGGTGCACGTCACTACAGAATTAGGCTACTGAGCTTCATTCCACAAATATTCATTCATTAATGTGAGGAAGTATGTTTCAAAGATAATTGTAAAGGATCTTGTACTTTAATGTCTGGATAACGAGCCAGTAGCTACATTACATTTGGTGAGAGAATTGCTCCACTCAACAGTGGTCAATGGAGAGAAAACTAGGAAAGCAGCAGGAGCCAAATGTTCAGGCGTTGAAAAGCACACCCTTAAATGTGGCATCATTCTTTGAACTAAAAGGTATTGAGTTAAAATCTAAATAAATTAATAGTTAAGTAAATTTTTGACACAAGATCTCAAGGAAGTCACAAGAATGAAGACTACAGAAAGAAACCATTAAATTTAAAAGACAGCTGGGCACAAGGAACTGGGGAGAGAGAAAGGCAAAGGAAAGGGTCTTTCACACACACACACACACACACAGCCACATCCTAAGGAAGAAACAGCAATCCGCGCAAGCTCTGAGGTACAGCTGCATTGAATTAAAATTTCCATTGTTAGCAAAGTCAGTCAAGAAATAGGAATCCAGAGATTTTTTTTAAAGGAGAAAATATACATAGAAGAGAGACAAGGAGGACAGCTATTCAGCCCACTGGTGGCGGGGCAGGTGTGGACGGGAAGTCAAGCTCCTGTTCTGAGCGCAGCCTGGGCCAGCCCGGCCATGCAAAGGTGCACACGTCCACCATGTCTCTGAGTAGGTTTCCTCAGTCGTAAGACGAGAACATTGGACACACGACAGTTACGATCTGTTCCCCCAACTCCAACATCCCATAACTAGATTTGACAGAGGATCCTGAGTCAAATTTGTCATTAATTTCTACCAAAACATCCACAAAACCACTATAAAAAGTAGGGAATGATGGAGGTTAATTCAAAACACAGCACCCACAAGGAAGATGTACACTGTGGCCACAAAGATGGTGTAATTTTAGTTCGTGATCTCTTTTAAAGAACTCATAAAAAGGCCACTGACCACACAAGGTCTAACTTCCTCACAACTTTACACCAAAACAAAAGAAAGAACAAATATATGTATGTGCCCTTTTTTATAAGATGAATCTTAAAACAACTTTTTTTTTCCTTTGCCATTTTTAGATAGCAACAAAAGTCACGTCAGCAACTATCAGTTGAATTAAAATCACTAGAAGAGTTCTGGTTTAAGACAGTCGGATGTAATTAATTATATTATAAGAGCTGCTTCTGATCTGACCAAGGAGCTAAGCATTTACTTTTAGGAAAGAGAAATAAATGTATTTACGGTGAATGCAAGGCAATAACTAAATGATCCTCATGAATAATGAGCAAGCTATCTTATCAGAATCTAACCCCATTTTTAACTATTTTATAATACAGCCAAGGACTACACTAACCATACCAATTACCACAACACCATCATGTTCAAAGTACCCACAAAATACACTCAATGCACTCAAGACAGATTAAACCGATACGGCTCCTGGCTCCTTGTGTCTTATGACTTCCTAAATACTATTAGGCATTAGGAATAGATTTTTCCACCCATCACACATGGAACTAAGCAGTCTCTGAGCAGCACAGTCAGTAAGGCAGTTAAAAGTGCAGTGGGAGAGAAGTGGACAGAGAAATTGGCTAGAAGGGCAAAATCTATTCTAAAGAGGAAAAAATACATGAGCTTGCACGTCATTTTATTCTGTATAGCTTAGCACTTTAAAAATCTATTTTAGGGGCCTGGACCCGTGGCTGAGTGGTTAAGTTCGCGTGCTCTGTTTCAGTGGCCCAGAGTTTCACCGGTTCAGATCCTGGGGTGGACATGGCACTGTCCCACACAGCACAACTAGAAGGATCCACAACTAAAATATACAACTATGTACTGGGGGGATTTTGGGGAGAAAAAGCAAGAAAAAAAATTTTTTTTGAAATCTATTTTAAGCACCTGACTTGAAATGTTTCAAGCAGGAGCCCACGGAAATCACTCCTTGAAGACAACCGCTTCCTCTGATCCCCTTCTGGTCTCCTATTAGGTACTTTCCTTGGATATTAAATATGCATCTTAGATGTTTCTTCTCTTGAAAAATTTATGTCGTGCTGTAATTGTTTACATGTTTACCACTCACTCCTGGCCCGGGACTTTTGCTGGTTGTAAGGAAAACAAACCAACCACACTGTTATCTAAAAGCCCCATCATCTGGCTGCAGTGGCTGGGATTCCAGCAGGCAGGGAGCAGTGCCCAAGGACGAAGTTACAGCCTCCGTTACAATTACATTAGTGGAAATGTGAATATGCTTAACATTACTGAATTATACACTTAAAAATGGTTAAGATGGGGCCAGCCTAGTGGTGTAGTGGTTAAGTTTGGGCGCTCTGCTTTGGCAGCCTGGGGTTCATGAGTTTGCATCCCAGGCGCAGACCTAGCACTGTTCATGAAGCCATGCTGTGGCAGCAGCCCACATACAATAGAGGAAGATTGGCACAGATGTTAGCTCAGGGCCAATCTTCCGGACACACACACACAAATTTTTAAAAAATGGTTAAGATGGTAAATTTTATGTTATGT